CTAACACATAGGGTTTGTGCTGGTGGTTTAAATCTTTAAATATGTTCTTCACATTTGTGAAAGGCTATGAATAGAGTTGACACCTGGATGTTCGGGTCCGGCGGGTTCGGCCAAACCTTGAAAAAAAGTCCGGGTTCGGGCTCGAACTTCACCCCGAACTTGACGCCAAACCCAAACCTCATTGAAGTCAATGGGGACCCGAAATTTTGGGCACAAAAATGCCACTAAAAAAGTCCTGGAAAGGGCTAGAGGGCTGCAAAGGGAAGTAAAATGGGGGTAAGAGTAGGACAAGTGCCCTGCAAACAAATGTGGATAGGGAAATCACTTAAAATAACATTAAATACCTAAAAATAAAAATACAGCTGAGCCATAAAATAGCACTAGATGGAATCTTTGATTTTAGCTTTGGAAGAACATAAATCGAAATCTAAAGCATGGCTGTCGGGTGGATCACCAGAATTATCCATTTGAGAGAGGGTTGGACTGCAGGGTATTCTCTTTCATTGTTCAAACTGAGCTCAACTCCTGATGCATGGAGAAAAGGCATTCACAAGCCTCTGTTGTGTACATAGTTTATACTAAGTGACCCGTAGGTTGAGGAGGCAGTGACCGTGGCGGTGTAGGTGGAAGCGGCGGTGGAGGAGGAGGAGGAGGTAGCCAACACTGTTTTTTATTTGTTTTTTTGTGTTGTTTTTTTTGTTTTGTTTTGTTTTGTTTTTTAATTGGGGTAGCCCGCAAAATATTGGGACATATAAAAAAAAGAAACATTTGCGGCCTGCGGTGCATTTCTTGCAGTTCTGATGCATGGAGAAATGCTCAACTCCTGATGTATGGAGAAAAGACCTTCACAAGCCTCTGCTATTGTGTACATAGTTTATACTAAGTGACCCATAGGTTGAGTATGTCCACATCCTGACACATAAGTGGTTGTGCATCTTCTGGGGCATGGCTAGGTGGATGGCCCACAGAAACCCCGCCAGCAGAGTCATCAAAAAGCATAAGAGACTGCTGCATTCTACTATCGCCTGTATTTATTCTGGCCTCACCATTCATAGAGCGGCATTCGGGCCTACCAAATAACGCTAAAGGTTCTGTTGCGTACTTGCACATGAGGAAGGTGTTTCACTTGTGCGTGTAGCTGGCACAGATCGACCACGTCCTCTCCTTGCAACAAGGATTCCACCAACACCAGCAGCACCACGACCAGGGCCACGTCCCTTATTTGACAATCTCCTCATTCTTTGCGTTCACCCACCAAACTAACAGATGTTTTATGTCAGGCGACAATGTAACCGCCAATAGTCAACAAATTTTTGTTTTTTTTGTTTATTGGACTGCAAGAAATGCACTGCAGGCCACAAATGTACTATTTAGCACCCAAAAAAATAGAATTTTTGAGAGTGCAATGTAACCATAGTATTTGACGGTTCTATTTGACTCTCAGATATGAAGTGCAGGCATCAGATTGACTTTTTAGCACCTAAAGAATTAGAATTTTTAAAACTGCTATGTCACAGCAGTATTTGACAGTTCTATTTGACTCTCAGATATGAAGAGCATGCCCCAAATTTACTATTTAGCAGTTTAGCACCAAAACAATTAGAATTGTAACAACTGCGCTGTAACCACACTATTTGACGCTTCTATTTAACTCTCAAATATGAAGTCAAGGGCCAAAATGTACTATTTAGCAGATTAGCACCCATAAAATAAGAATGTTTACAATTGCGCTGTAACCGTAGTATTTGACACTTCTATTTGACTCTCAGATATAAAGAGCACGTACCAAATTTAAAATTTAGCAGTTTAACACCAAAACAATTAGAATTTTTACAACTGCGCTATAACCGCACTATTTGAAGCTTCTATTTGACTCTCAGATATGAAGTGCAGGGCCCAAATTTACTATTTAGCAGATTAGCACCCAGAAAATAATGTTTACAATTGCGCTGTAACTGCACTATTTGACACTTCTATTTGACTCTCAGATATGAAGAGCACGCCCCAAATTTACTATTTAGCAGTTTAGCACCAAAACAATTAGAATTTTTACAACTGCGCTGTAACCGCACTATTTGACGCTTCTATTTGACTCTCAGATATGAAGTGCAGGGCCAAAATTTACTTTTTAGCATATTAGCACCCATAAAATAAGAATGTTTACAATTGCGCTGTAACCGCACTATTTGACGCTTCTATTTGACTCTCAGATATGAAGTGCACGCCCCAAATTTACTTTTTAGCAGATTAGCACCCAGAAAATGAGAATGTTTACAATTGCGCTGTAACCGCACTATTTGACGCTTCTATTTGACTCTCAGATATGAAGAGCACGCCCCAAATTTACTATTTAGCAGTTTAGCACCAAAACAATTAGAATTTTTACAACTGCGCTGTAACCGCACTATTTGACGCTTCTATTTGACTCTCAGATATGAAGTGCAGGGCCAAAATTTACTTTTTAGCATATTAGCACCCATAAAATAAGAATGTTTACAATTGCGCTGTAACCGCACTATTTGACGCTTCTATTTGACTCTCAGATATGAAGTGCACGCCCCAAATTTACTTTTTAGCAGATTAGCACCCAGAAAATGAGAATGTTTACAATTGCGCTGTAACCGCACTATTTGACGCTTCTATTTGACTCTCAGATATGAAGAGCACGCCCCAAATTTACTATTTAGCAGTTTAGCACCAAAACAATTAGAATGTTTACAATTGCGCTGTAACCGCACTATTTGATGCTTCTATTTGACTCTCAGATATGAAGAGCACGCCCCAAATTTACTATTTAGCAGTTTAGCACCAAACAATTAGAATTTTTACAACTGCACTGTAACCGCAGTATTTGACGCTTCTATTTGACTCTCAGATATGAAGTGCACCCCACTAATGTACTTTTTAGCACCCAAAAATGTTTAAATTTTAAATCTGCAATGGGACAGCAGTATTTGACACTTTTATTTGACTCTCAGATATGAAGTGCACCCCACGAATGTACTTTTTAGTACCCAAAAATTGTAAGTTTTAAAACTGCAATGTGACAGCAGTATTTGACGCTTCTATTTGACTCTCAGATATGAAGTGCACACCACAAATGTACTATTTAGCACAAAAAAAATTTGACTTTTTAAAACTCCGATGTAACCGCAGTATTTGACGCTTCTATTTGACTCTTAGATATGAAGTGCACCCCACTAATGTACTAGTTTGCAGAATTCTTTCCTAATCTGTCCCTGAAAGCAGCAGCATCCTCTCCCTACACTAATAAGACCTCATGTGCGTGCGGCGCTACGCGACTCCAGCTTATATATAGATGCATGGGTCACATGCTGCACTGGCCAATCACAGCCATGCCATTAGTAGGCATGGCTGTGATGGCTTCTAAGGGCACACGAGTCAAAAGCTTGTTGATTGGCTGCCCTGCAGCTTTTCAAAACGCGCCATTAAATCGCCGAACACCGAACTCCAACCCGAACATACAGTGATATGTCCGTGTTCAGGTCCGGGGTCCAAAAAACAAAATGTTCGGTACGAACCCGAACTTTACAGTCCGGGTTCGCTCAACTCTAGCTATGAAGGATCATTTATAATATCCACTGATTTTTTCTGCTCAACAAATCCAATGGGATCCTTTACTTACTAAGTGACTACATTAAGTTACATGTGTTGTCATTTCTTTGTCAACCCTTCCCTTAACCCCCACTGTTGGCCAACAATTATAAATAATTCAATATCCAATATATAATAAAATATCCTTCCATTCAACTCTATTTATATTGTTATAATCATCATCATGCAACATTTGGCAACACATAACCACAGCTATAAATTACCCTATAATGGACAAACAGAAATGCTAAATGTAAGGGTGGATGTTTGTTCTAGATGTCAGTGTGTATGTTTGTGTGTTAACAGTAGGAATTTAAATGTGGATTAAAGGCAAGAGAGTGTGTTGGCGTCTGTACATAGGTGTCACTCCATGAGCTTGTGACTGTTTGAGTATGTTTGCATATTGTTTCAAATTTAAAGGGAATATATAGTGCCAGGAAAACAAACTTCTCCCTATATCAAGCCCCCCTTGGTGCAGAAAAAACACCTTCTGTCACTTACCTGGGTATAGCACCGATGTCCCACAGCACTGGCTCAGGTCCACCTTCTTTCCTCCCCCGATGACACCAGCCGCCGGGGGAGACCTAATGCGCATAGCATTATGAAATGCTTTCCTATGGGGTTTTGGGTGACGCTGGATGTCCCTTGTATAGCGTGAGGACGTCCAGGTCAGTTAATCAAAAGTGCCTAGTGACAACCACTGGAGGTGAAATAAGCATTAGCAGGTAATTACTGTAGTTTCTTAAAAACTGCAATAATTAACTGCTCAGGGTTAAGGAACCTGGGACACTGCACTCAGACCACTTAAATTAGCAGAAGTGGTATGGGTGACTATAGTGTCCCTTTATGGCCAGAATAGCCAAACTGAAAACAAAGCTGATTCAGAGAATTTTTAGACCTTATCTTTGAAATTCGCTTAGAATTATTGTTTAGTAAATAACCTTGCTACTGTTTCATATTAGTGAGACAATTCTCTTTGCAGTAGAGTTACTTTGGTAAATAACCGTGCAGATCTATACCAAATGGAAAATATTGGAAACATTAATGTGAACTTAAACTTATTTAACATAGGGAAATTCTTTTTACCGTAAACCTATACAGTAAAATGTAACATTAAGTCTCATGCTGAAGAAGACTTTAGAAGGAGTGATACATTATCCCTAAATGGGGGAAATGATTCCAGAGGAAATCACTGTAATGCAGCCAAACCATTAAACAAACTCCAAGTATGTAGATTAATTAACAATGTAAGAGAAACAGAAGCAAACGACAATCTCATGGTAGTTATTGAGCAAGAATGTAGCAGTGAATGATTAAACTCAATTCACTGATTCCAAGGCAGTGAAGAGGTTACAGAACACAAGTGTTCTTTCTAAATCCAGCAAATGTGATCCCTCCTTCTGGTGGGGCCTGTATAAGAGACATTTCACCAAGCCTCCTCCTCTCATGCTGAATGTTCAGTGAAGGAGCACGTAAACATTACTCTTTCCCTGGCTGCACAATGTATGACTGCATTGTACTTGGGGCTGGAATCCAGGGATCTTTTACGGCCTACCATCTAGCTAAATGTGGAAAGAAGACTCTGCTCTTAGAACAGGTAAAACAAGAATAAAGGAGACTGTGCAAGGGCTGTGTCCTTTATAGCACTCACATTTTGTACGACTGTAACTCTATTCTCTGTTCTATTTCACATGCTGACAAGGAAATTGATGTGAATAGTAATGTAGAGTCTATATCAGGAGCTGTAGGTTCTATCTCAACATATTTAAGGAAGGGTCCTAAAACCAAGGAAAGAGCATTAATGTGCTCTGTAAACTTTGGTATAAATTTCTGTTTGTTTTCGTGATATAAGATTTATTAAAATACGTCCATATGTTGCATTACTTGTTTTAATGTGTGCTGCTTTAATTTTATGCGCTATACAAAATTATATTTTATTTCATAGCCATTCTTCCTAAAGGTTCACAGAAGTTCAGTTTAGTCGTTAATTAGCTTGCAGTGTAGCGCTGTCTCTACAGTTTGCAATTTATCTAATTTACAACTTATCTAACTTTAACATAGCCGTAACTGAACTGGGACTAACCTCAACTGGTAATCAATTAAACAACAGAATGAGGCAGCCAAATAAAATGATGAAAGTACAACTAGGGAGCCATCAGTAAGCCATCAGTAAACAACCAGTAAACATTAAAAATTAAAGGGACACTCCAGGCACCCAGATCACTTCTGCCCATTGGAGTTAACCCTGCATGTGTAATTATTGCAGTTTTTTTAAACTCCAATAATTACCTTGCAGGGTTAAGTCCTCTTCTAGCCCCACTAGAGGGACTTCCATGTTCTTAGAACATGAAAAGTGTTTTAAACGACGCTGGACTTCCTCACGCTATGTGAGGACCTCCACCGTCGTCAAAATCCCCATAGGAAAGCATTGAAAAATGCTTTCCTGTGGGGAAGTCTAATGCGCGTGCGCAACCATTGCCGCGCCAGCCGGCGGGGGAGAATAGGCAGAGCCTGACCCAGAGGCGAGGGACATTGGCGCTGCACTCAGGTAAGTCACTGAAGGGGTTTTAACCTTCAGCAACATGGGATGGGGGTGGTCCTGCAATGCCAGGAAAGCAAATATGTTTTCCTGGCACTGGAGAGTCCCTTTAAACTGCAAATACTAAAAAAGTAGATGTATGCCTCCCAGTGATTGGAGTTATATTGCTGGAACTGTGTAAGCTGATTGATTGTTTGATCACTCAATTACTCATATTGAAGTTATTTTTTGTCTAGGCCCTCCACAAAAATCAGTTTTTTTATATTTTATTCAAAAATATATTTATTTATATTTATTCAATAAAATCATTTAAAATACAGCAATAACATCACTGGTCATTAAGAAAAGAAAAGAAAAGTTAAACAAATAAAACAACAATTTTTGAACATGGAGTATATTAACATTCATTCTCCAACATTTTTTTATGACTGTGATGTATTGAGTTTAAATCAACACATTTAAACCGTACATTAGGTCACACATTATTTATTATCCTGTAGTTTTTTTTTTCAAAACGTTTAAGTAACACACTTAGATATACGTTGGTATATAAGGCCTAGGGAGATTCGCTTGGAACATTGGTAATAGCCCTGCTCCATAAATATAGTGATTGGTGTATAGATTGGGGAATATTGATACAAAATGTGGCCAGAAATTTGGGGAACATCTGGCTGCACATTTACCTTTGGGGTTAAGGGCCCTTATGTATTTAACATTTGTATTCTTCTGTCTTTTGCAATGGTACCCGTCACTTTATTATACTTTTTTGGCCTGAGTGCAAGGAATTTCTATATTTTATATATAGAAATGTAGATTAGAACAAGTAGATTGGCAATTCTTTGGTGCTTTATTAACATGGGGGCACAGTATTTAGTATTTTTTCTCTGGTAACAAATGATGAATGAAGTGGACTGCCACTCAGTACATAGTTACATAGTTACATAGCTGAAAAGAGACTTGTGTCCATCAAGTTCAGCCTTCCTCACATATGTTGTTGCTGTTGATCCAAAAGAAGGCAAAAAAAAAACTAGTCTGAAGCGTACCTCTAAGTAAATGGGATAATCCCTCCATCTCCGCCCCATCACTGCAAAAGGGATGGGAGACAGGGGAGAACATATACTGGTACATCCATGGTTATTAAGACCCATGTGAATCTCCATTAGATTTTTTAAATAATTTTTTTGGAAGCAATCATTGCTCCTACCGGATAAATGGAGGGTTTGAGATCCCAACGCCTTTTACATCTTTCAATTATTCTATATAATAATGCATGTTAATTGCTTCATAAGAAAACTGTTGTATGCTCTCCTCTGCAGAATGCGTGAAAACATGCAGAATATTCATACAGTTTTCTGTTATGTAATGACAAAGGTCCAAAAAACTATTGTAATATACAAACAAAAGAGGGAAGACTTTTCAGACTATCTTTAAAACGCTTAAAAGGAACACTACAATGTTAGAAATAAAAACCTAGAAGCACCTCTAGTGGCTGTCAGTATGACATTCACTAGCGGTGGATTTAACCCTGCAATGTAAATACTGCAGTTTCTATGGGTTAAAACGACAGAGATTACGTGGTCTGGGTGACTCAAGTGTCCCTTTCATAAATTGTAACATGTTGAACACTTTTCAGATCACTTAGATAAATCCCCACATAGTGTCACTCTGGCATGCTATAACAGATAATAAGAGATTGTAATTTGCCAAAGCTTCCAAAATCCTTGTTCAAGCTCTGTCCATAACTCAGACAGTCGCAGAGTCAAAATATATATTTTTTTTATTGCTACTTTACTTAAATATTAAATATTTAATTTTATCTATTTCCATGTAATGAAAAAGTTGGTAAGTGAAGTGCAGAAAACTACCAGTTGCCCAATTCACCTTACAGTAATTGGAGGTTTTAAAATCACAAATTTTTATGAAAAAAATTACATTTTATATTTGCCGTAGAAGCCTGCTTTGAATTTCAAAGTAATATATAGCTTATAACGGAGTTAACATTTCTGTTCATTTGAATATTCAGGCCTTTAATACTTAATGTGGAGATGGAACAGATATTTTTAGATTTCCATTATAAAATAGTTAATTAGAATTCTTCAAGGTTATACATTTAATATTTTTTTTAGAAATACATAAGTATAACTGTGCGGTGGCAGGTGTACGTTAATTACAGAGAAAGATTTATATATACTTTCATGTGAATATTTGTAGAAAAAAAATGTTTGGGAACCAAATATCCTCTTTTAATGGAAAAGTATATGAAATTTCACATCGCTTTATTAAAATCATTTGAATCCATGACTTATTGTCAGAGTACCATGTGGACTGCCATGTGTCTTGGTAGTCCAGTAGCCCATTCCCCTGCCTTCATCCATGGCCAATCTCCCAAAATTCTCAAGATCCAGTGTCCTTATTTACTCTACATCCAGTTCTCAGTTTACTCCAGAGCCAGTCTCCAGTTTTCTCAAAGTCTTGTGTCCTAGTTTGTATCGAAAAGTATATGTGAACTACCACATTTCTTTATTAAAATAATTTGAATCCTTCTGGACTTCATTTTAAGATGAGACGAAAACATCCCTATACAACCCATGCTGTATTGTCATGAGTATGTTAATACTGCACATGTATTTTATTAGTCCAGCGCACATTCTCCTACCTTTCTCCATGGACAATCTCCCAATACACTCAAGATCCAGTCTCCTAATTTGCTCTCGATACAGTTATAGACAACCCACCTTCCTATCCAGTTTATTCCAGAGCCAATTTCCAGTTTGATCCAAGGCTGGTCTCACGGTTTGTTCCCTGATTGGACATTTTTATTGAATACTATAATTAAAGTTTTTTTATTAGTCCATCAAAAAACAGGGGCTGACATATTGAAATAAAAATAACCACAGAAGAACTCAACATGATTTTCCTCGCCAAAAACATGCTTTTGACTTGAATGTAGAAATGCCCTCCTGAGTGAATTAGCTGGATAACAAGGGTATCCATTTTTGCAAATGGAAATGTCCACAAATTGCTTTTCAGCAGATATGTTCTCAAACCTTTATGCAGTCATATATCTATTGTAATGAAAGATAAGTAGAAGAATCTGTATTATTAATGTTAGTGCTATTTTACTTAAAAGCAGGGATTTTAAAATAAATAACTTTATACTTCTCAATATCTTTAAGTAACCCATTGCAGATATATACCATCAAGTAAAATGGAGCAGGAAGACAAGGCAAATGGTACCATAAATTACATTGAGTACGGGAAATTGCACAAATAAGGACTTCAAAATTAACAGAGGAAATAGACATTGCTCGTAGGATCACTTCTCCTAGAATAAATTCATTTTGCAGTCCAGCCATGCTTTTCCCATTTTTTAAATCAATATTGCAAACCATTGCCAGGGATATTTGCCGAAATTAAAACAGTCAACATGAATAATTTTTTCAACTCTGTTATTTTCACCTAAAATGTGTAATTCACTCACTTGAATATGCATTGACTTTGCAGCAGTTCATACTTAATGGAATGTTCCTGCCTATATATATTTTTTTCTTCTTTGCCTTTGAAATAACAAGATTGAACGTTGGAAACTGTGAAAGTTTGAACTTTGGCACCAAGGCTTTCTTTTTTCCAGTTTTCAATTACTCATTTCTGTTATTAAGTGTACTTTGCCCTTTGTGCTTCAAGCAAAGAGCATAGTTGGAAAAAGTAAAAGAACACAAATGCATTGGGTGGTATATTTCTTTAGGAAAGCTTATGGCCTCCCAGAGTAACCTCTACTTTATATACCTGTCTCTTACTCTCTCCTAAAGGGCAACACTCTACTCTCTCCTTCGGCTCTGCTTCACTCCCATCTTATTTGGTTGCTATTTCCTGTCCTAATGTGTTTATACCCCACCTCCTATAGATTGTAAGCTCATTTGAGCGGGGCCATCTGCAACCTATTGTTCATGTAAGTTTTCTTGTAATTGTCCTATTTATAGTTAAATTCCCCCTCTAATAATATTGTAAAGCGCTACAGAATCTGTTGGTGCTATATAAATGGCAATAATAATAATAATATAACAGCGGAACAAGTGAAATGTATCAGTCTAGCTCTCTCTGGTCATTTAGGTACCACTATCAACCATCACGGATTAAAGGACCACTATAGTTACCCAGACCACTTCAGCTCAATGAAGTGGTCTGGGTGCCAGGTCCCCCAGGTTTTAACCCTGCAGCTGTAAATATAGCAACATTGCAGGGTTAATCCCGCCTCTAGTGGCTGTCTTCATGACAGTCGCTAGAGGCGCTCCTGCGATGCTCAATGCGAAAATCACATTGAGCACGCAGAACGTCCATAGGAAAGCATTTTTAATGTGCGCGTGGCTCTGGCCGCGCATGTACAGTCGGCTCCACTCGGGTGCTGACGTCGGCAGGGGGAGGAGAGTTCCCCAGCACGTAGGGACCCTAGTGCTGGATTAAGGTAAGTGGCTGAAGGGGTTTTAACCCCTTCAGCCCAGGTGGAAGGGGGCCCTGAGGGTGGGGGGGACCTAAGGACAGTATAGGGCCAGGAAAACTAGTTTATTTTTTCTGACACGATAGTGATCCTTTAAGGGATTTTTAAACATTATCTATGCTAGGATATATATATTTGTAATTCTGTGTGCCAGGATATATTTATATATCTAATAACAGCATAGCAATCTAACAATCTATTTTATTGTGAAAGATTTGATTCTTCCATGTATTTGCAATTCTTTAATCATAATTACAGGTGACACCCTTAATATCGCAAAGAGCGCAATTTAATACTAACCACAGATGCATATTTGCAAAATTTCAGATAAGATAATATGCTATTGTAAAATATAATGTGCAAAAAAAAAAAATGTCAAACACCTTTAATCTAAGTCCATTTTATTCTACTGTAACCTTCCTGTGCCCTCTGCACCTGCCAAAAAAAAGTCCTAAAACCTTACTATCAATGGTGTCAAGTTAATATTACTAAAAAAAAAATAAAAATTAAAAGAATTGAAAATGTTCAACTAGCTTTTGCATTAATTTTTTTTTTATTTTTTTAGCTGAATTTTGACCAGCTGAACTCTGTGAACAGGTTGGCTAGTCAAAATGGAATTAAAAAATTATGGGACGTGTGCAAAATTGTTTGGACGTTGACAAAATCTAGATCAACATTGAGAGAGAATGAATATTTTTAAATCTTTATCTCATTAGCGACTGGTTAGAGCAGTAGTAATGTCACTGCTATAGAACTGATGATCTTGGGGTCAAATCCCAGTCTGTCCACCTTAGCAGTAAGTAATGTCTAATTGTAAGGGATATGTTGGTGCTATATAATTGCTAATGGTTAAATGCTCTTATAATATATGAATGGTTTTGAACTTTTTCAAAATGATTTAAAAGTCAAAGCCACTCAAAGCGAAATGTATCAGCTCCCTAAAAACCTTAAATTGCTTAAACTGTTTCAAACCGTTAAAAGGCTTATCAGGAGCCGGTAAATTTCAGTTCACATGGATTCAACTTTCAGGTCATTTTAACTTTCAAAACTATTCATATAGTCTTAAATTAGTAATAATATATTATTTAAAGCATTAAAAGGCTTATCGGAACTGGTGTGCTCAAGGTGGTTATTGTCAGAGATTGGTCACCTGATCACAAGTTAAGAAATGGAGCCAGGGAGTAGGCTTGCCTGTAACTTTAAAACTGGTGATTCATAACCCTTCCGGCTACCTAATTTTAGAAGAAGTCTTAAGGTCAAAGCCAGTATTATATTAAGAAATAGGGTTAGAATAAGATTATGGGGTTATGCCAAATTAATCCTTAACCATTAAGTTTAATCCTAAAACACTAAATGTAACTCCCTATGCTCTAGCATTGTGAATGTAGCCAATCTGCCATTGTAAAAACTTAGTGATCTAGCAAATTTTTTTCGTCATTGCGATTCTTAGATTTGAGTCATTGCGATTCTTAGAATTCATCTTGAGTTGTTTTACCAATCTCATTTCAGTTTCCCCTGCCTCATACCAGAGGAAGCTCTCATGGACAAACGCGAATCATCCGCAAAGCCTACCCAGAAGATTTCTACACTAACATGATGCAGGAGAGCTATCAGCTGTGGGCAGAATTGGAGAAAGACTCAGGAACCAAATTATACAGGTAAAGAACCCTTATGCATCAACTCAGAAGTGAGAACTGCATGGAATTCAAAGCTGTGTTTTAAAGAAATCGTAGCCTTCATCAAACAGATTGAAAATGCAACCCAGTGTATTATATATGATGGGTTATCTAGACATTATTCAGATATCATTAAATTCCTTGTGAAACATTAAACTAGTTTTAAATTTCAACTTTAACCACTCTTAGCAAGCCCATTGGATATCAACTTATGTCCACCTTAGCCCGACTACTTTGAAGACAACAAAAAAGGTGCAGTCCAACAAAAGAATTGTAAGTGTAAATCATAGTTCTAAATATGCGTGGTGGATTCTGGATACAAGAAAGCTATGAAAAATAAAGTTTGCTCCCCAGACTAAATTCAAGAACAAAATCTGGAATTTCATAATTGTATCTAAAATAAAATAAAAAATACCACAATAATCAAATCCACCAATGTGCTGCATTTCGGAGACTAGAAAATCTATATTTTGGGTCTTTAGGACTTACCATTAACTATGAAAGAGCTGACAATCACTCCTTGTTTTCGCACATCCCAATTTCAGAGGGTTAATATTGCTAAGTAGGCACCATGATTTCCTCAAACTAACTTTTTAACCCACTATTGGAAACTGTAGCATGGGTGTGGAAATGTAACGGGCCAAGGAATTCTTAACACTTTAGCCCACTACAATGCGATTCTCAAATCAACTGGTTTACTGTTCATCCCCTCAACTGGTCATTTACTAGATTGGTTGAGGGGTTCGGGAATTTCCTGGAAGTCACTTATTTGACCGACCGCACACATGGTCTTATGCCCAAAACAGTTCCACAGTTTTAGAGGTAGCGGTCGACCTATTTCAGGAGTTCTAAACTGAACAAATCCACAAACTGTTCCCCTGGCTCATGGGTAGCGTTTGCTCCCCTAGTTCGTGGGAACAAACCTGCCAAATAGCGCTCTCCTGGCTGGGCGGTGAAAAGAATCAGGCGTTCGCGAAGGTGGCCGGCGTTCGGGATGTTAAGTGTCCGATTTTAGTTCCAGACACTCGACAACCAAGTCCCACTGCCTCTTTTTGTGCAACAAGATGGCTGCCATTTTCTCCAGCACATGATGTTCTTAGTCTGCGGTTTTCTTTGTAGTTAATGAAGCGGGGGGGGTGGGGGTGGTCAGTGTTCGATAGTTTTATCTATCGAACTAGGAAAATCAAAGTTAACTAACCAAATTGTGACGTTTCTTCACAAGATATATATATATATATATATATATATATATATATATATATATATATATATAGACTGGCAATTCTCAGCATTTATGTGGTCTGCACCTGCACACGCTCTCCTACTGGACCACCAGGGAGGAAGTCAGCTGTACCACAGGACCACCAGAGATCATACTCTGCTTGACCATCAAGGATTAAAAACCTTGCCCCCCCTACCTCTGCATAAAGATAAGCAAGTTGCAGTCAACACAACACATAATCACACTTTGCCAACCCCAGACTTTGTCACACTCAGACAACTCTATACTCACACTCAGCCAGCCCTCACTCACATTCCTCTAGTTCCACACTCACAATCACAGTCAGCCAACTCCACAAGTACATGTCATTCAGTGGCAGAACTAATATAGAGAGGGCCCTGGTGCAAGAATTTTTTTTGGGCATCCCTCTAGTGCAAGTGTGGCAAAACGGTAGATCCCCATCTGTCATTCAACACCCACAATGTTATGCCAGCTGAGGATCTACTATATACCCATCCTTACAGGGTTGTATTGATGAGCAATGTTTGTACATTTAAATGTGACCATTTGTGTATGGAGTATATGTGCACATTTAGTATTTGTATGCACTGTCTGGAATGCATGAACGAGGTGCATGTATATCATTTTGGCAAGGTGCTTGTTTGCAATGTTTGCGTTTGATAACAAGGGTATGTTTGCATGTAGTGTTGGCATTTGATTGCTGGAATGTATGCACATATATACCATATACTGCCACAAACATACATACTTACATAAATACATATAATGACACATTCACACACACAAATGCACACGCATATACACACACTGACACAGATGCACACATAAACATACTGACACATAGATACATTCACACACAGATACACATACTGCTGACACATACATACTGACACAGTCACACAAACACACAGATGCACACACAAACTGACACACATAGATGCATACATGTCATATTTTTAGCATACCTTTTATGTGCAGGTGGGTGGCATCCTTTGGATCCTGGTGCTGGCTGAAACTGTTTGAAGTGTGGATCTGGGGCTGACATTTTCCATGCTTCTGCCTGCTCTCTGCCTTCTGCGCGGCTCTCTCCCTGTATCTGGGAGAAAGTGACAGGCTCACACTTCCTCCCAGCATTGGCGTTATTACAGAGGCGCAGTCACACAGTTGGAGGACCACCGCTCCCACTTGGCCCCTGTTTAGCAATACCCATCATGTGACCCTAAGTGCACAAGCTGCTCAGTGGGACTCCCAGAGTGTGTGCCTATGTGCAGTCACACTGGCTACAGCAGCGATAGTTCCGCCACTGATTATAACTATAAGAATTTTCTTGACTGAACTTTTTCTCGACTTCATGATATCCATTATCTGGGATGTTTTTGTCATGGAAAGATACATTTTTGTTGACCATGCTATATTCATGACTTGCTTGTGATTAATAATGTGTGATTAAAACAGGGGCTTACTGTTACATTTCATTGCATTTCATTGTACAGAATACAACATGACCACAACCATACCAACAATATCCAGAGGCTCTTTCATTTTCAAGGCATTTAATGCCCTTTATATTATATGAAAGGTTACGGAGACACACAATTGTATTGCTCTATTGTAATGGGCTGTGCAAGATAATTATTTCTCGCTACTAAGGATTCTCACATAAAGGACAGAGGACTCATGCAGCCTATCATTTGGTATTAATTATTCTAATTCTGTCATCCTCTTACATCCAAATTAACTTTTTTTTTTTTATTATTATTAATTATCCCAGTTGGTTTCAACAGCTCTCGGAAAGCACATACCCTTTTGTTTGGTCTACACGTGATTTTTCCATCAATATCTTTTCTGTTCTATAGCAGACTTATCATCTGTCTGTATCATGACACACAAAGGGGGTACAATGCTGCCTTACTGTGCCAATGAGTTCTACACAACAGTGACCTTCAGCTGCCCTTCGTTAACTCAAGTATTTTATCTAATCATTAGGAAACAGAAATGGATTGGAGTCACTTGCTATATCATTGCAAAAATGTTCATAACACTGCTTCACCACTTACATTGTGCAGTAACAATTATTATTAAAATGTGCTGGGGTTTTTTGTTTTTGTGGTTTTTTTTTTTATTTCTTTGCTCATCTTGATTATGCATTTCACTGTTGAATAATTTACTTGTTTTCTGGCTTGAAAAAATATTGATGATTTTGTTTTTTTTACCCGCAAGTCCTTCTTTTTAGAAAAATGGCCAATAATAAGTAGAAGGGTCAATCAATAGTACTTTGCAATGTGTGCTTCATTTTATCCTCTGTTAGCGATCAGCCTAACTAGCCTAGAGCAAGCAACGTTTGCACTAGGCATTGTACGCTTAATAGATTACTCTTCAGGCCTCTTTAGTTCCTTAGAGATGGAAAATAGAACTCAATCACTCATAAAGTCTTCTACTCAGGTTTATATTCTAAGCAAGTTGAGAATGGGTTGCATATATTAATCCTCCTGCCTTATAGCAGCATATTTTTCTGTTGAAGAGTACTATTACCATCCCTCTGTTTGTTCAAAATTGGAGACTTTCTCATACATTTAATGTAGTGTTAAAACATCTGTAAATTCAGAAATGTGTAGAATATGACAAGAGGTCAGATGGTTTAATACTCAAATAAACTACAATTCCCATGATGCTTTTCAAGCATTTAGATTATGAACGTTTTAGTTTTTAAACATCTTGGGCACACCAACTATAGTCCCAGAGACATTATACTTTATTATGCCCTCTCCATTCTACTGAGACCGCGCTTATCAAATGACCTAATCACAGCTAAATCCAAAGGCCACTACTCCATACTAATTCTTCTTGACCTCTCTGCGGCCTTTGACACCGTTGATCATGCTCTCCTTCTTCAAACTCTTCAATCATTTGGTCTCTGTGACTCTGTCCTCTCGTGGTTTTCCTCTTATCTCTCCCAACGCTCATTCAGTGTCTCCTTTTCTAATGATACCTCCTCCCCTCGTCCTGTCTCGGTTGGAGTCCCCCAAGGCTCTGTCCTTGGTCCCCTTCTATTTTCTCTCTATACTGCCTCTCTTGGCAAACTTATTACCTCTTTTGGATTCCACTACCACCTGTACGCTGATGACACCCAATTATATCTCTCCTCCCCGGACCTCTCCCCTGCCGTCCTGCAACGTGTCACTGCTTGCCTTTCTTCCATCTCTGACTGGATGTCCTCCCGCTTTCTGAAACTCAATCTTTCTAAAACTGAGCTCCTTGTCTTTCCTCCTCCTAATACTGATCCTCTTCTCTCGCTCTCCCTTCAAGTTTGTGGTACCCACATCAGTCCATCCTTGCAAGCGCGCTGTCTTGGCGTCATACTTGATTCTGACCTCACCTTTGAGCCTCACATCCAGCATGTTGCCAAATCCTGTAGATTCCATCTTAAAAACATAGCCCGCATCCGTCCCCTTCTTGCACCAGATGCTACCAAGGAGCTTGTCCATGCTCTAGTAATTTCCCGCATGGATTATTGTAACTCTCTCCTGATTGGTCTTCCCAAAAGCCATACTGCACCGCTACAGTCCATAATGAATGCTGCTGCCATACTGATTTTCATCTCTAGTCGCTTCTCTCACACCTCACCCCTCTGCCAGTCCTTACATTGGCTTCCTGTATGCTATAGGAGTCAATTCAAGGTATTAATTCACACCTATAAAGCACTGAGCAACTCTAGCCCCTCTTATATCTCCTCACAGATCCATAGGTATGTCCCTTCTCGGTCTCTCCGCTCTGCCAGTGACCACATCCTGACCGTTGTCCACACCGATACGGCCAACTCACGCTTGCAGGACTTCTCGCGGGCGGCTCCCTTCCTATGGAATAGCCTGCCTACCACCATCAAACTCTCCCCTAGTCTTGCATCTTTTAAGAAGTGCCTTAAAACCCATCTCTTTAGGAAAGCTTATGGCCTCCAAGACTAACCTCTACCTCACATACCTGTCTCTTTCTCTCTCCTAAAGGGCAGCCCACCTTATTTGACTGCAAATTCCTGTCCTAATGTGTTTTACACCCCACCTCCTATTGAATGTAAGCTCGATTGAGCAGGGTCCTCTTCAACCTATTGTTCCCATAAGTTTTTTGTAATTGTCCTATTTATAGTTAAATCCCCCCTCTCATAATATTGTAAAGCGCTACGGAATCTGTTGGCGCTATATAAATGGCAATAATAATAATACTATTATTCACTTGGTTAATTTCAAAGATGCCAGGATAGGAGGGAAAGTGTATTAGAGACAAAAACAAAGCAAAATATTTTATGTAAACAGTTCTCTTGTATTGTATGTAGATTGCTTTGGAGAGAGATGGTAAATGGTCACATCAGTCCAGAGTCCATTTAAATGGGTTGGTGTGGAGGTTAAGGAAGGACATATAGAAAGATCAATGATGTAACAATTTCCCTTCTGAAATGTAGCAGATAATTTTGTTATTTATGTACATAAAGACTACTAAACCATTAAAAACTCCTTTCCTGATTGGAAACACTAGCTCCTTGTTAAAATGTATTCTATGCTTTCAGCTGTATAGATGCCCAGAGGAAGTGCATCAAAAGTCTGCATAATGAGTACAATTGTGAAGCTACTGGCTTCGGATAGACACTATTGTCTCAGCCCCTAAGAGGCTGTCATCAGTGTAAACTACTTGAACCCATATATTATGTATAACAATGAATCAAGGAACAACTATTACCAGAGATACAATGTAGAATATTTGTACTATTTGCCCAGTGGTACAAAGTACTATATTTAATTTCCTAACAGTGTAGCTGGGTGTAAGGAGTTATTATTACTGATGTTTCTGTTTCAGGTGTCAAACTGTATCAGTCTTGGCTTTTATTTAATATATTTATTTAGAGGGACCTTGACAACATAAATTACAAATAAATGGGGGGGTGGGGCGGGGACTGACAGCCGACCGAGACAGACGTGTGAAGCTAGAGCTCCTTGACGAAAAGCTTGAATTTCACTACAATTCAGGGGTATTATTGAACCCAATTCCCAACAGCAATCCTGCCCTATCTACTTACCCACGTGAGGTAAGCTGGCTGAATGCGTCTGAGAAGACAGGCTGTGAGATATCAGCACTGCCAGTGTCTGAGGCCTGCAGCAGTGGGGTGGTGTGGTGGGGATGGCAGCTCCTCCATCTCACACAGTTCCTGCTTGTTTCTGTGCCCTGTCCCTCCTCGCTCCCCCCCTTTGGACCGGTGGGAGATATCCTGGTCCCCACTGATGGATTGACCTGCAGCAATGGAAAACAGCCGCGGAGAACAAATAAAGGGTGCAAAATCTGCAAGATCTAATAGCCATGACACGCCTTACAAGATGGCTGCTGCAATAAACTGGGCCTTCCACGAGGTGCGGATAGAGCAGGCCTTCAAGCGCCTTTGGTCTCAATTCTGGGCTACAATAAGCGAAAGAGCAAAGAAGGAAGTTATGGCAAACTCCACACTGACACTCCCTGGAAGTGTCCTCAACCCACAGCATGCTTTACATGGCCGTGTTTTGGCTCTGAAAGCAAGAAGTAGGAGGAAGACGACGCGGCGGGCACCTCAATCCCGGAGGCCCAGCACTGTTGGTTGCCGCAACTTACCTAAGCCTCAGTCTGCCCAGGGTCGACCTCGCACGCATGGCTCAACCCCTCGACTTGTGCAAGCTCGCTCACAGGCCTGGGGACAGAAGGGAACCATACCCAAGCAAGGAACTGCTGCCTTGTGCCTGAGTCTCCCTTGTCGCATGACAGCTCTACACTCCATACAGCACGAGTCTGTGAAAGGAAAAAATAGTCTTTATGAACTTCCCAGGAGTCAGTTCTAGCATTTATAGCTGTCATGCACAAACTGGGAGATACAGATACAGTGTGCTTTAGAAATATGTCAATTTAATGTTATACACAGGTAAATTATCAGGCTTTGGGCCTGTAAATGTAGTCCTAAATAAGGATGTAGCTAAATAAACAAATACAATGGCTACTTGATTCACAAGAACAATAAGAAAGGGACTCTATAAAAAGGGAAAATAATCAATCTTCAGTCTGGAGGGTTGCAGGCAGACTGAGCATTCAAGTCAAGAAATGCTGTTATATAGGCTTCCTTACCATGTATGTTCAGCAAGAGCACAGGGAATGGTTTGGAAGTCAACCAATCACAGTATTCAGCAAGAGCACAGGGAATGGTTAGTTTGGAAGTCAACCGATCACAGTATTCAGCAAGAGCACAGGAAATCGCTACAAATAATTAAAGTTTATGGATAATATTCAACAGCCACATTGGAAACAAGACCAACTTTGGAAAAAAATAATATACATTTCTGCTGATAGTCCTGATTTTTTTTAGTAGCCTAAATATTACAAACTGGTATTTCATTCCCCATGGCACAAGAGAAAATTCAATATTAGGGTGACAGATACATAGAATGTGACGGCGGTCGTGATGGATAAGAACCATTCGGCCCATCTAGTCTGCCCAAATTTTCTAAATACTTTCATTGGTCCCTGGCCTTATCGTAAGTCTAGGATAGTCTTATGCCTATCCTACGCATGCTTAAACTCCTTTACTGTGTTAACCTCTACCACTTCAGCTGGAAGGCTATACCATGCATCCACTACTCTCTCAGTAAAGTAATATTTTGTGATATTATTTTTAAACCTTTGCCCTTCTTATTTAAGACTATGTCCTCTTGTTGTGGTACTTTTTCTTCTTTTAAATATAGTCTCCTCCTTTACTGTGTTGATTCCCTTTATGTATTTAAATGTTTCTATCACATCCCCCCTGTCTCTTCTTTCCTCAAAACTATACATGTGAAGATCCTTTAACCTTTCCTTGTAAGTTTTATTCTGCAACCCATGAACCAGTTAAGTAGCCCTTCTCTGAACTCTCTCTAAAGTATCAATATCCTTCTGGAGATATGGTCTCCAGTACTGTGTACAATACTCCAAGTGAGGTCTCACCAGTGTTCTGTACAATGCCATGAGCACTTCTTATGACTTAAAATGACTTAGAATGACTCCTAGTGCCACCTTGTTATTTACTAAATTATGAATCGCTGGGAATGCACCAATGAATTGAAAATTTAATGTCAACACAGCTAACACAAACATTACTATTTTGTCCTTAAGTTTGCAATCCGCTGGTGAATGCTGGGGAATATTCATGGTTTTAGTGAATAATCCTGTCTGAGTGGACTGTCCTTAGTTCTCTGTTTGGAATATTTATGAATGACCTTCTAGGAATATTGTACAGAATAATAATAATTTGTATATAACAGATAAATAATTCTAGATATATCCATCACTATTCCACTATTTAAGATAAAATCAGTATCTGCGTGTTCTGTGTTTCTATTATACACATTTCTTTATCTTGCTGAAACTCCCTGTCAAGGGCAATTTCACCTTTATGATAAAATTGTACGGAAGAATCTTTTCACCATATTTCATTTCCAAGCTGCCACTCACACGTCTCAGCATGTTCTAATGTAGTCTCTGCGCTAACACTAAACGGGGCTGGCGCTGAGCTTCCTAACAATACATCTATTTTAAGCCACTTCAAAGATATCACACAATGCAACAAAAATGTCCCTGGGGACCACACTAAGCAATTTCCCAGAAAAAAAAAGGAAAATCTTAACCCATTAGATGCACTCAGTGTTTATTATACTCTCGACTGGGAATAAATCAGAAAAGGCAGAATCGAAAACCTAAAGAACTTCTCATTGTCTGGTCCTGTTTTTGTGTGCTTCATATAATAATGATATGAGAAATATAATTGTGTGCTGAAAATTGGTGTGCAAGGGTATGAATCCATTACTGCTGAACAGAAACTAATCGAGTTCTTATCTAAAATGCCACTTTAGTGCCAATATTCTATGTAAGTTATGGATTTATCACAGGCGAACGCTTATATCTTACTGCTTCACAGGAAATTTGTCTTTTCAAGTTCATATTGCAGTGTTTTTTTTAATAAAATAAAATTATTTTATATTTTTTTTATTTTTTTTTTTACAAACTCTTTGATTTTATTGGCATCCGTAGGAATACAGGACTCGTAGTCTGGGGACCAGCTGGCAATCACGAGTTAGAGAAAATATGTAAGAACCTGGAAAACTACCAGATCCCATGGGAACATCTGAGCCAGGAGGCAATGAAACAGAAGTACCCTGGAATTTCTCTGAAGCCTGGTGAAGTGGCCTGTTGGGACACCAGTGGTGGAGTTCTGTACGCTGACAAGGCACTCAAAGCAGTTCAGGTAATGGTCTTCGTGGCCTGGTGTAGAATCTGAAAACAGATTGCTGTTTTGTAATGTGTTACTTTACCAATGAGCACGTATTCGGGTACACATTTTCCAAAGCAAGCTTTTTAATGCAGCCACATGAAATCAGAGCCAATTCTTGCACAAACTGTATCTCAAGCATGAAATGTCCAAGATCAGGAGCTACTTTCATATCTTGAAATATTTCTGGATCCTAACTGATTAAATCATTTCAATCACGCCTGTTTGGAAAGTCCATGATTCACTAACACATAGTATATATTAATATGGTGCTTTGCCATACACCTATACTCATACTCATTACTTCTTAGCACTTTTATACTCTCACTCACAATGCATTATTGTGGAATACACCTACATACACTGTTCATTATTATGGATTTGGTTTGTGAACATTCTCCCAACGTTTCTTTTTATCTGCTGTGAATTACGGGACCGGGTGTTGTCTGATGCTACAGTGCCAGGGAATAATAGTTGGCTTGATGCGCACATATCTGTGCCATGCAAGGGACTTTTTCTATGTTTAAAGTAAGACACAGGGTATGACATGGATGTCCTTAACAGGCCTGGCATGTCCAGTATTAAGCAAGAAAGGAAAGCAGTCACAGGCTTCCTCCCTCTAGTAGAACCAACAGGTGACCTCTCTCTTCCACCAGACTATGTCAGAAACAAAAATAACAGCTGCTGGATAGGGGGCACTTTAAAAAAAAAATAATCCTCTGGCCTCTTTTTCTAACAGGAATAAGCATAAAAAACATAGCATACCATAACAATAAAAGGGCAATCTTTATTCTTATATAGTATCCCAAAGTACTCAAACATGCTACGTTTATCTGTACATGTATAAATAGTTTATAACATTTTCCGTATAAACAGCTTTTGTAACATGCATATAATTTATATAGGAACCGTTTCTAGAGAAGGAATTTGAAACTATTTATACATGTACAGATAAACCTTGCATTTGTGTGTACATTGATATACTATGGAAGAATAAACATTGTGATTTTATATGTATGGTGTGCCCTGGTTTATATGATTATGTTTATGTTATGTAGAGAAGGAATCTCAAGCACTGCCCACTCACACAGATGTTAATGGTATACAATTCCCAGAATTATTTTAATGCAATAGATGAAAGTTGTCACCGTTGTAGTTCAGCAACATCTGGATGGCCAGAGTTTGAGATGACTGTGACCTTGTAATCATTTGTGTGCTCTTTACAGTAACCCAACTGATGTTCTTCTGAGACACAAGTCAAACTCATGCAGGAGCAGATTCAGGGGAGGTGGACATTTTTCACAGCACACAGTGTTTTAGAACTGAACATTTATTTTGAATTTCCAGAACTGTCAGACATATTATGCTAGAAAATATTAATTATTCTATTTCACACACTGCAGGCCTCAATTAAGAAAATGGTATCACGGCAATGTTTGTTGCTGTTTGAAACCAAATATTGGGACAATGTTTTACTGGCATTGAGAAATGTTGAGAAAGCAAGTTGTTTTGTTGATACACAATTGTCTAATTCAATCTACGACTTAAGCCACTTTTACTAAGACAGTAAACTAATAGATTCTGTTGACTCTGCCAAATTATAAAACTAGTATGTGTTAACTCAAACAATAGATCGACTTCTATCTCATGTTAAATAACAAGACCTTTTGTCAGGAGCATACGAGGTGAGTTAATATTGGATAGCCTAACTGAAATGAAGTTAGAAGGATGTACATTTCAAAGTATATCTAAAATTAATTGTATAAAATTAGTGATGTTTCTTAATTTTTCATCATATTCAAAAAATATAACTTTTTATATATTGTCTCACAAATATTCCTACAGAACCCAACTTCTGGTCCATTCTCAACCCATATTATTCCCTTATCCCTAACACTAGTGAAATAATAAAGTTTGCATTGCATATTACTGGATGCTAAAATATCTACTTTACATTGAATATAAAATATCATACCTAATGGCGATATTTCGTAAATTCCGCCTTACAATCATATTGTGTTGAACAAAATAATACAGATGCAAAAAATATACTTACAAATAAATAAGGGGTATGTAACAATATAGTAAACAGTGTGCATATTATGGTATTAAAACATTTTACTCCCACCCTCCAGAATTAAATTGAGAATAAATTACTTTTTAATGGTGCACATATTGAATCTTGCCACCCTCAAATTACCCAATGCCAGATAACATGAGTAAAAAGAGGGGTTGTGGCAAATGTATCATAACAGTATAGGTGAAGTGATAGCATACTGTTCTATTATGCAACATGTCGGAGTATTATTTAAATATACAAAATATTGCATTAATATGTTCTTTTATATTTCAGGAGTGTTTCTTGCGCATGGGTGGCACCATTCATGATAATGAGAAGGTGACACATATAGAACCAGGACCAATGATTACAGTGACAACCACCACCACTTCGTATTCAGCAGAGAAACTGGTGATCACAGCAGGACCTTGGGCCCAGAAGGTCCTTACTCCTCTAGGTCTTCAACTCCCCTTAAAGGTGAGAGATTGTATTTATATATTTAAGAGTTTATTCACTAAGTGGTGACTAAAGCTTACAAACACAAATATAAATATAAAAGTGCACAGTGTAGGGTATGTAGTGATGGTGGATGCTTAAACACTAAAACCACTTCAAAGTAAACATAAAATACATACAGTAGTAGGTGGAGCATTCAATAAATGTGTAAAATAATAAAAACATACAGCAAATAGAGCAATATGCAAGAAATAGGTATATAATACATTAAAATGAGGATAATTCAACTAACAAGCCTGGAGCCAAATATAGTAATATGGTTCACATGGGAAGTGCAGTGGGACTCTTAGTAGGATGTCCCAGTCATTTATGTGGTTCTCTTTTAGGTACCTCCAAGTCTTACATGAAGAGGATGGTCCAAACGGCTTTTTGGTTCAAATGGTATACTTTATTCCGTTCATATGAAATAAATAAAAGCAAATATGTAGAAATGTCCAATAAAATCGATAAAAAGTCCTTGGCTGTTGCCAGTAAAAGTCCAAAATGTGTTTCGCCCTAGAATTAGGGCTTCTTGAGTCGGTTTAAATCTTTCCAGGCTTGCTGTTCATTTTAAATACCCTGCCAAATCTTTATTTGCAGGTGTCACTTCCGGGTTCATGGAACACATCGTGCATTCCATGCTTTCCTATGGTCACGTGCTCAGCTTGTCACGTCAATCACATGACGTACGGGTTCCCAATTGCATCTCCTTTTCGTTGTTGTGTGGGCTGTAACTGTTAGTGGAACGCTCCATGCGTTCCACAAGGTTCATCATTGGGCAGATGAGCCTTCCAGGATGTCTCCCAGCTGTCGTTCTACTCGTGTTGTGTATACTTTTACGATGGGGTGATTGGTATCTCCTGGAGTCTCTCCCAGGAGTCTTATTCACAGTATCCCAAACAGAAGCATTTAACCTTGTAGGAAAGCAAATAATCAACAAAAACTGGAATTTCTTTACAAACAAACATATAGTCAATAAAAGTGGAGACTTCTTTATAATAATATGTATGTATGTAACATTGGTGACAGGGTGATAGAGGTTCTTTTGTAGATAACCTTTGATAGTTTTTTATAGAAAGAGTGTTGAGGATACTATTACTATTATGATAATGAAATCTTTATTGCTGAATGTAGAATATGTATTAAATAATAGGTAATAAATATATTTTCATTCCTAATACATACTTTTATAACTCTGGAGGTAATAATTGTGTTGGCATGATTTTAATAAATGGTTATGTTTAAAGGGACAGGCTTATAGTCATATGATACAGAAAAATATCTATAAAAATAACTTCAAATAGAAGCGTATATTAAAAAAGGAAATGGCTCTAGGAAATGGCTCTAGTAGAGGAAAATGTGAGAGGGATGTTAAAGCCCATGTGAAGAAATAAATATATATGTATATATAAAATTATGTAAAAGTATAAAAGGTGAGTAAAGCTTATCTAGTGACTAACGGTGACTAAAGCTTAGTTTGTGAATTTTCCTAATTCGGCTATTTTGATCTGAATTTTGCAAGTCGGTTTTCAGTTGTCCACCATTCACAGATGAGTCGATAAACCCTATTCTTCATGCAGAAAAAAAATTATAATTCTAACTTCCATCTGAAAACACAAGTCAAGTGCTGTAATTATTTCTTACTTTTTTCATTTGATTTGCAGTGCGATTCTTCTAAACTGAACCACATTTAAAATGTTTCTAGGACAGTCAAGCTCCCTAGAGTAATGTATATCATTCCAATGTGTTTAAGGTTTCCCTGCCAACAAATAGGTTAAATCACTGGCCAGTTTCCTTTCTACAGAATTCACATACATACTCATAAATAACGTACAACCTAAGTGTCTTGTCACTGTTAACTTCTTCTTGTCTTTGGGGAAATCCATTTCTTTACTTCATATTTTCAGCATTGGCATGGCTAAATTCTTTCATAATATATAAGGTCATATAAGTATCAAATACTATATAACATTTTTGGGGGTTCTGTGTTTAATATTAAATGGAACATAGCTTACTAAATAATATTTTCATGTTTTAGTACGTTACTAAATGTTTCAGTCTGATCATCCAAAACATCAAAATGCTGCCAATTATATCCTTTATATTTAATTTAACCAGAAAGAAATGCATAGTCTCAAATCAGTATGAGATATTATTTGGGGGTACCCAAAGGTACATTTTTGGGGGGTAATATGGAAAAATGGACATATTAATTGTGATGGACGGAGCTCCTGTACTCCGACCAAGTGCCTCCGCCCAATCCACCTCCTAGCCGTTGGGGAGGGAGCCTGGAACGCTTCAGCTCCTGTCACCGAAGCTTGACTGGGGTCTCTCTGGAACTCTTCCACCTGGCCAGGCTTCTTCCATGCAGAAATCGTCCCCTCTGCCTATTTCTCTGCAGATTTCCTTCCAAGCAGGTAGCTTTCACTCTGCCTATTCCTCTGAAGCTCTGCTTGTAGTGATTTCAAAATGTCTTTACAAAGACATTTGCAACTCTCAGGCCTAACTCTCTTGATTTGCCCCTGAGCTAGAGGGATCATGTAGCCAGCCAACAGGTCTGAAGACTCTGTTACTGAGATACTTTAAAATCCACACAGGTCACACAGTTCCAAAAGGAACTAACATACCATTCTTTATTTCAACTCTGGACTAGCCCATATGTTCAAAGCATTTATATTGCTGTGACACTTGATTAAAATACAAATATAAAAACCATTAATAAACAAGCAATTAAAATGAATACATGCACTATATAATACCAATAACATTTTCAAACACAATATAAAGCAATTAAATATACATTTTACTACTTATTTGGTTGCCTTCATTTGCACACAAGTCTTATATAAAAGAACACACTCCTAGTCAGTCAGCAGAGGGTGCAGCAGAGTTATCTTTCAGGGACTCCTGGGACCAGATCCATAGTCTGTGGGTAGGAGGCTGTCTTTCAAGCCTCTCCAAAAGGTCATGGCATGGGAGCTTCTGTCACATATCTCCCCCTTCTAATGGAGACTAACCTGAGAGGAGACTCTGAACGGGTTTACTCCCAAATTAGTCAGTTTGTTAATCCCAAGGCCAAAGCAATAATATAATACAATTTTAAAGAGTCACTTACCAAGCCAACCTTGTCATCTCTCGTAGTATGTAACTGCAGCTGGGGAAGAGTATCAACTACACCTTTTCCCTTAAGTCCTATCAGCTGCTGGAGAGAATATAGAGTGGCCGGTGTCTCTAAGACAATGGATTGGGGATCTGGCTCACTGCCCAGCCTTCTGGTATTACACTGGTGAAGCCCATGCTCCCCTCCACAAGTACAGGACAAATAGCTTTCTTCTTTAGTAGTTGAGGACAGAGGCCAGCGGCCTCTGAAGAGGTGAAGAGGGTTTACCATTTACGCTCCCGGTAGCTCCAATTGCCGCTGGGGAGGAAGGGAGGCCAACCATCTCTGCTCCCATAAACTCCAACAGCCACTAGTGAGGGAGGCCAATACTCTCTACACCTTGCATAACAACCTGCCGCTGGTGACCTCTCCTCCTCCTGCCTATGTTAGTGCCGAATGCGCTTGAGCGTCAAGAGCCGCACACGCATTCAAACAGTCTATAGGAAAGCATTACTCAATGCTTTCCTATGAACGTCAGCGTCTTCTTACTGTGATTTTCACAGTGAGAATCGCGGAAGCAGCCTCTAGTGGCTGTCAGTGACACAGCCACTAGTGGCTGCATTAACCTTCAGTGTAAACATAGCAGTTTCTCTGCAGGGTTAAAACTAGAGGGACCTGGCTCCCAGACCACTTCATTGAGCTGAAGTGGTCTGGGTGCCTATAGTGGTCCTTTAATAGATAACCCTGCCTTACTCCCATTCTTTCATGCACTGGTGTCAACTATATCCAACGAAGAGTGCATTAATGGCATTAAGAACTAAACAAAATAACATTTATTAAGGGATACTATAGTCACCAGAACTACAGCTTAATGTAGTTTTTCTGATGAGTAGCATCATTCCCTACAGGCATTTTTTATGAAAACACTGACTTTTAAGAGAAAATGCAGTGTTTACATTTTCCCCTAGGGACACCTCCAGTGGCCACTACTCAGATGGTCACTGGATGTGCTTCCTGGGGCAGTGCTGCACAATGTGGTCCGAAGCTGGTGGCAATTTTGAAAACAGTCTATAAAACACACACTCCTCTCCTGCCTGTCACCCGGCAATTGTGCTCCCCGGACCCATGTGCCCTAGGTGGCCCTGCACCAGCCCTGAATGTATGTTGGCCCACAGGGAAATTAACTGGTAACCCGCTGTGCCAGTCCGGCCCTGACTGGGGTGCACATAGCAGAAGAGAAATTCTGGGTATTTTAATCAAAAGATATAAGAAATTCCCCAGACACTCAAAGTGTTGAAGCCGCAGGCAGTTTTAATGAAACAAAATGAATAGCCTGTTCTTTTTTGTTTCATTAAAACTGCCTGCGACTTTAACACTTTGAGTGCCTGGGGAATTTCTTTGTTGCCTTATCGTTGTGGGATTGCTGGTCCTGCTACAGAGCACCAGGGGGCTGCTGGGATTGAGTGCAGCTCCTACAATCACTTTGACACTGAAAAGATGACTAGTTACTCTATTTTAAGTATTCAGGCTAGTTGATAATAAATGTTCAAGTTTAAAGTTAAGCAATCTACAGAGAAATCTTTGCTTTCCAATATTTCAAAATTGCAAGTAAAATCTCATGTTGAGATACAGTGGAATGAGCTCACAGGTTAGCAAAGTCACGGCAATCTATGTGCATTGTTGTACTTTATCAAGATTGCAATGGGCATGAACCCCTGGCTCCAATATAGTGGAAGAAGCCCCTCCTTTCATCAGCAGTATCATCAAAGTATTAAATGTATTCACTAGGGGAATTGCTACTAAATAGTGATTTTTAAGATTTGTGTATTTGGGCAGTGGAGTGTCCTTTTAAGTTGCAGACAATAGCCAGAGAACATGCACTGTCCCCTTTCACCATCTCTCTCTTCTTCACTCTGGAATCCCTCTAGGAAGTAGGAGGGATCGTTGCTAGCCTACCATGAGGAACAATTTTTGCACTGAAAGAGTTAATATAACATTAGCCTTGCAAACGGAAATACCTGTCACAATAACCTTTCCACAATCAAAGTACTGTTATCTGCAGTAAATTTTAGAACATCTGTAGCAATCATTTTCAAAATTTATTACAAGGAAACTATTTTGTTTTGTGTTTTTTTTATTATGTAACTTTAAAGGGAATCAATCAAATTAAATTAAGTTTCTTTCTATGGAAGCTGACTCGGGGCTCGATTCTATTAGCCTTTTATAAACAAATCAATATTTCTTTAAGGAGGCTGTTGCAAAGTAAAGGCCTTTTCAATTTGAAAGTAAATGTGAATGTCTAGGTGATGAGCTTTAACATTCTCTGTGACTTGTTAAAATATCAAACCTAACTTTGTATTTAATAACCCAGTCAAATACATTTAAAGATTTAAGAAATAGCCCCGCTATCAAGCTGTTGGCATTTACATAATTAGATATGATTAGATAGACAATAATGTAAAACGCTGCGGAATAAGTTGGTGCTACCGTGTTTCTCTGAAAATAAGACCGGGTCTTATATTAATTTTAGTCACAAAAAACACACTAGGGCTTATTTTCAGGGTAGGGCTTAGAGCCAGTCTGTCAGCCGGTGTCCGCGCTGTGTAACCCCCCCAGAGACCCTCACCTCCCCCTCCCTGTAATATTCTCCCCTCTCTCCCTCCCTCCCTGTAATACTCTCCCCCCTCCATCCCTGTAATATTACCCCCCCTCCCTCCCTGTAATATTCTCCCCTCCCTCCCTGTAATACTCTCCCCCCTCCCCTGTAATATTATCCCCCCCTCCCTCCTGTAATATTCTCCCTCCCTCCCTGTAATACTCTCTCCCTCCCTGTAATATTATCCCCCCCTGTAATACTCTCCCCTACCTCCCAGTAATATTATCCCCCCCCTCCCTCCCTGTAATATTATCCCCCCTGTAATACTCTCCCCTCCCTCCCTGTAATACTCTCCCCTCCCTCCCTGTATTATCCCCCCTCCCTGTAATATTATCCCCCCCTCCCTCCTGTAATATTATCCCCCCTCCTGTAATATTCTCCCTCCCTCCCTGTAATACTCCCTCTCCCTCCCTGTAATATTATCCCTCCCCTGTAATACTCTCCCCCTCCCTCCCAGTAATATTATCCCCTCCTCTCTGTAATATTATCCCCCCTCCCTCCCTGTAATACTCCCCCCCCTCCAATTTTCTCCTCACCTCCCCTGTAACGTGGCCGAGCTCCTCTCCGGTCCGCGACCCGGCCGGACTGACAGGAAGTGCACACCCAGTGTACACTTCCTGTCAGTCCGGGCGGGTCGCGGACCGGAGAGGAGCTCGGCCACGCTACAGGGAAAGGGAGGTGAGGCAGTGCGGCAGCCGTCTGAGCGCTTTCTATAAAGCGCTCAGGCGGCTGAGGCATTTAAAGGGCCAGCAGCCGCCGGCCCTGCCTAGGTCTTAGTTTCGGGGTAGGGCTTATATTGCAGCCCACCCCGATAATCCAGCTAGGGCTTATTTTCAGGGTAGGTCTTATTTTCGGGGAAACACGGTATATAAATGCCAAAAACAATAACTAAAAAAATATATATATGTATATATAGATTAGATATATTGGCTTAAAAGCTCATTTGGGCAGGGTTCTCTTTGCCTACTGTTCCTGTAGGACATACACTTTTTTTAGAATTTGATGTTTGACTTGTTTACCAATTGTATAGTGCTAGGTTTGCGCTATATCATCAATTGTAATTGTAATTACATAGGGAGAAAGAACTAACATTGTGCTGAAACTACTTATATATTACACATTGCATGTGAGGTGCATATACAGGGGACTTTTTTTTTTTTTTTTTACATATAAGATATCGTTATTAACATTAAAACCAAGAAAAATAAAGGCTAACATGTGGAAAAGAACATGTGCTCTGTAAACATTTGCTTTTAACCCATTATGTGAGGAGATAGACATCTTTCATCAAGATATATCAGTGCTTTTATTCAGATCGGTCCATATTAATCGAATCCCCAGCCAACTCCACAAGAACAGTGTGACTATTCTAATTTTTTAAAAAAAATAAAAAAAACAATTAGATGTTCATGCTATGTACTTGTTGTGGTTCGTGGTTTTGGATAAATTAGTTTGTGCAATTCAAAGGGCTTCACAATAACTACTGTGTTAAACATTTAGGAGAACCAAGATGGCTGCCGATTATGTGCTTCAAAGGGCATCAAAATGGCCACCAGTCATCTGTCCTGGTGTACCCTAGTTACATTAACAATAGACATCACCTGGTTATACTAACAAAAGAGTTAATAGAAGCCCACATATATTTGCAAGCATTCAAAACCAACTTTTATTTTTTTACAGCTATAATTTAGATTTTTAGCTGCATAAGGTATGTCGGCAGATTTATATCCTAACATGTAATGACTAATGTCAATAATTCAGATGTGCAGCAAAATATAATGTTTAATAAAAAGATGTAAAATAAAATATAACAAATATTAATAAACATATTCTAGCTAAAAAATTGTAATACTAACTAGACAACTAGCCTTTGCATTACTAATAGTATGTTTCCCATGATTGCAGTTAAAACATGTCAAAGGCTATCCAAGTAACTTAATCTAAATACAAGTATAAAAGCTATAACAAAATGATACAGCTTTATACTTAACATCCCAGGATCTTAGATGAAATGGAGATAAAGGTTTCTGCTGCTCTACATAGATCAAACTCCATGTCCTGAATAGAACATATGGGCCTAGAGCAGGAATAGGCATAGGCAACCTTCGGCACTCCAGATGTTTAACTCGGAATTGGTTAAACTGGTTTGTTAATTAACCTTTTCAGTCTTTAGAACTGAAATTTATGCAGGGAATATCTGTTAAATGGTGAACTTATAACTTTGAGAGTTATGGACGTAAAAGCACAAATATTGTGTTAAAATGGTAGTCATATTTCATGTCCATAACAGTACTATATGGCAAAATTTTAATGGAAGGCCAGGTGTTACAGCTGTAAAGAATTAAAATGATTTTTAGATCTAAGGTCAGAACAGTTGAAACTGGAAAAATTCAAAAAGTCAGTTGTGCTTTCAGATTATTTACTCTGGCCCCAAACATGAAACTCACCTCGATCTTACCCAAAAGTCTCACTTCAGTAAACAACCCTTACAAAGTGTGCATTAGCAGGGACCAGATGATAGCTTATTAAAATGGAAAAAGATGCAAACAGGCATATGGAGTCAATTAATGTGCGTACTAAATCTAAACAAAAATGTGTACACATGCTGTAAGGATCACATTTATATGTAACAAGTCACTTATGGTGTTATGTAAGAAGACCTTTTCATTTTATCTTAGGTATTAAATGCTAATGAGAAACTGTACTGATTGATCTTACCTTTACATGTTTTGATCTAAAGGCCTTAGCAATTTGTAGATATTAAGCACTGCCTTTTAAAAAAATATGGAATACAAAAAATAAGACTAAACAAAAAAAAAATCATTATACACAGTAATGATATATAATTTACATTATCATATTACAATGATTAAGGTAAGCTATTTCTTACACTAGGACACCCCAGTAGCAGCAGTCAGCATACATGTAAGGCAATTATTAGTACTGAATTAGATATATACCGTAACTTTTTTTAAATTATTTGTCTAAAACTACAGTAAATTACAGAGGCAGGTAAATAGGGGCCAATTTGGCTCTGCAGACGGTTACAATGATTATCCATTGTATGTGTATGAGCAAAAGATTCCATAATTGAGTTGAGGAAAACATCAGCCCTTAAATCTAGTTTTTAGCACAAAGCATTAATAAATGTTTCCGTTATTATTATTACTTGCAGTTATAATTAACAGAAAAGGGAACTAGTACAAGCAACGGTAATTAGAAATAGACAAAGTAAAGGGTACAACAGGATTAAATGAAAACAGAATTTTAAGTTTCATGATATTTCCAAAATAATTTTGGGATTCAATATGTTATGGCAATGCTAGCTAATTTTAGTAGTGGGGTGTATTCTTATCAAACCTTTAATTCAAAAGAATACATTAATAATAAAAAGTTCAGTTATCATCGACTTTTCAAAGGCAGTCCTCCAGCTCAAAATAAATGATGAAATGTTTACATTAGTGTATACAAATTAGATATCCTCGTGATTGCACAGTTCTATCCATATTCTTTTAAAGCTAATATTTACATGGTTGCAGTGGCACTTAAACAAGAGACATAGAGATAAAGAGATTATAGCATTAATAGCACCTCAACCACCCCACGGAAGTGGCCACAGTGTCTGTAGCAAGCTATAGCAGGAACAGATAGCTGTGATTGGCTGAGAGTGTCATCTTGACACTCTCAATCCATCACAGCGTCTACAGCTGGTATGAATTATGGCCAGAAGGCATTATGTATGCTCTTTATCAGCCATAGCTTCAGTGTGGGCCGGGCTGTAAATAACCAAAGACCCTCTTTCAATGTTAAACTTCTTGAAAATGTTTTAACACTGAATGGAAGGCAAGACCCAGGGGGCTTCAGGCACTACAAAACAATCCAATGAGAAGAAACAGCCACAGTGTCCACAGGGTCACCTCAAAGTAGAGATCACTTTTGTGTCACATTATTACTACAGGGAAGCTGTTCACAACGTTTTTACATGCGCCATTAGACTTGTGCCGCAAAAGTTCCAAACAGCTGATACTTTAACAAAACTATTGCTATGCTTCTTCAAAATGCTACGCAGGCTACCTCTCTATAGTGGTCTCAGTGCAAATCAACTGGGGGCAATGTCACATAACAAGCAGCAGATTTCAGTTCCAGGGTCAGTTTCCAGCATTGCATCATCTGCACCAAGCACCTTTTGCTCTTGACAGAACAACTAATTTGCAGTGTACGCAATATGGTGGATGATACCACCTATACTTGTGATGTCCAGATCATGTCCAGATTATTGCTAAAACCAAGATAGCTTCCACCAGAAGCTGACAATTTTCAGGTTGGGAAACACGGTTAAGGACAGATTCCACATGAGCAGAAATGTTCAATTCTACAGGTCATCTCACGTGTGCTGGAACAAAGAAAGAGCAAAACCTTCAATGGACAATCTGTGACACTTTTGTAAGATTATCCATACTTTCTGATAGAATCTAACAAGTACTCTGTTTAGTGCCCCATCCAATCTCTTTCTATTGAACCACTGCTCCTGGCGACTAGCCATTGTCACTATCGGGTATAATTGTAGTGGAGAGATCATCGAAAGCAAAGAATAACCAAGTTTCAATTGCATTATGGAGAAATGATCCACATCCAGTTTTATCCTACTTTTCAGTCATGTGATGTCAGCTCTCTCACTCTTTTTGGCTCCCACACCTCCCAATTCATGGATGTTGATAGCAGGATTGGGCATGGAATCCACCAGTTGAACACTTCTCTGTATCTCAGATTTCTTCCTGCTCAGCGTGTGGTGAAGGAGACTCTTTATGTCAGATGAGCTTAAATTCATAAGACTTTCCGTGACATCTTCAGCAGAGCAGTGCAGTGAATGGGAGAGCTTTGTTGCCATGACCTGGATGATAAGTCCAATGGGCCAGTGGAACATAAAACTGTGAAGGCTGTGTCTTCATGTGCATGGCCAGGTACACCATTATTTCCTAAATAAGAATGGATGTGCCCATGTTCTTCTCACTGGTTTTTATCAGTTAAATATATGAGTTTCTTATATGGGAGGGAAGCAGTTACGGCCCCCTTCCGAGGCTCTGTTGGAAATCCTATTGTTAGTTGCATCTCCACCTTCTTTTTCAGTATCCCAAAATTCAAGCGGTATAATATTATATATATTATTATAGAGCAGTATAATCCAACTGTCCTCATGAATCAGATTAAAGTGAGGTGAAGAGAGGGACCGAGACAATGTCTCAGCCAATGTTTCAAATAATTTCCTGACACATTGTAACAGTGATCGCAGTGACTGGCTGTCACTGAGATCACAAGCTGCAGATTGCCACTGATTGGCCAAAGGGTAACTGATTGGCCAAAGGTCCCCCAACTGTGATCTGCAACTCGGGAGGGAGTGGGTATACGTGTGAGGACGCAAACGGCGTGCTATGCTTCCCTAACAGCGCTTCAGTCCATATGCTGCCGGATGGCGTGATAGAGTTAAAGGTTTTATATGTCTAAATTCATGCTGATTGGTTGTTTAATTTTGACTATGTTTACTGTTTCCTTGCTCCTGGAGGCATCAGTAAAGAAGGTATAAGCAAATATGAACCCTCCTTTTTTATTTATCTAAAACTACAGTAAATTACAGGAGCAAGTGTATAGGTGTACATTTATTTTAATGTCGCATATCACTCATAATACTGAAGTCTATTTTACGGGAAATTAAAGCCATCAAGGACTTCTAAAGATGTTATAATTAACTGAACCTGAACATGACAATATATTCCCCTAAATAAAAACTTCACTGTTACAAATACACACACAACCATACATACAAACTCACATGTATTTATACTATTCTGCCTAGCAGATTTTTTTATAATATATTAGATTTCTGAATTAATTAAGTGACATATTGTGTCACATCCCTTGTGTCAGTCTCTTAATTAATACATATTTAATAGGAAAACAGCACTGGATAATCTATTTATTTGGCCACAGAGGAAAATTAATAGTTGTAATGTTATTGTTTAGGTGAGCTATTAAACTCAGACACAAGATTAAATTTTAGTCATGTCATTTTCACTATTGGTTATTTGTGATGTGTTTTTATTTTATTAATATGTACTGTAAATATCTTGCAGACTCTGCGAATCAATGTATGTTATTGGAAAGAAAAAAATCCTGGGAGATCTGATATCCTGGCAAGCTCCCCGTGTTTCTTGGCTGCTGTGAGTGGTGAAGAGCATGAAATATATGGACTACCATCCCAAGAGTATCCAGGGCTCATTAAGGTGAGTGCAAGCAACTGTTTCAGAAATATTGATCTTTTAACCTATTCACTGCCTAGGCCTGTTCACTTAAAAATGAAAACCCCTTAACATTTAATTGAAGTATGAGATGGACAATAGAATGGAAAAATGAAACAAATCAATTTTGCCTATAGATTGCTGCCCAGGGACACCTAAAAAGATAAAAGATAAAATATTTTTTTTTTTTAATGCAGTTCTTTATTTTTTAGAAAACATTATATAGAAACTATCTAATATGTCTAATTGTGCAATATTTTAGACATGGTCTGACATACAATATTAGCATAGATCTAAAAAAAACATTTATGTCATATAAAGTAGGTTAGATAAAAATAAATTAAAATTGTTCCCCGTATATGTGAATTTATATTGAACATGATGGTATTTGGGGAATGCAGCAGTCTTTTTATTGTATCAGTACGTTATGTCATATTTCATAATGGATTCATTTATTAAACAGCACAAGAGAATGTGATAGTGCTCCGTAAATTATTATTATTATACTAAGGCAGGTGCTGTATAGAAATATCCTGAGCTATAGGCTATTATGCTCTGTAGTTTCTCACTCTATTGAAGTAGTGGGTTAATGTTTTTTTCCCTGATTAAAGTAGAACAGTGATGGGCAAGCGTTGGTACTCCACTTGTTATGGACTACATTCCCAATGACACTCAAAGGCAATGCAGTCCACGACAGCTGTTATGTAAAACACGGGACATGTGCTGGCAAGATAAGGTTATGATCTCAGTTTAGTTTTTCATAGTCAGGTTTGCCATGCCCTTTACTGTATACCCATACTCTACTACTCTACACCAAGATATTGTCGACTACAACTCCGCTGAAGCCTTGCCAGCATTATGGCTGTAAGAACATTATGGGAGATGTAGTCCACTACATCTGGAGTGCTGAAGGTTTCCTACCCCTGCCCTACAACAACAAATGGGCTATATTTTGGAGCTGAAAGCTAACTGAGAGTTTTACATGTCATATTTGTTTTTTGCATTCTGTTTTCAATTAGAAGTAAACAGGTCGGAATAATTTTCATTGTTGAGCAGTGTGGTGAAAGCACAACTGTATTGTGAAAAGAAGAAAATATTAAGCAGCCAATCAGATTAAATCACTATCATTGACCAGAAAATTTAGGGATGAGAATGAACCATAGGCAGGCCCGGATTAACATAGGCGCTGATGGAGCTGCAGCTCCAGGTTCAGGCCAATGGAATAGGACTGTAACGGACCGTTTTGCTCAAAAGAGGTTAAAAACCGTTTAGGCGATATTCCCCTTTTTCAGCTGCACCGACAGCTACTGCAAGCACCAATCTCCTGAACTGCAAACCCACGAATTCACCAACTCCCAAACTGCAACCAAGGGAATACTCGAAACTCCCGAACTGGAGACACACGAATAGCTGCTAGCAGACGAACATGAAAAGCCCCCAAGCGGCTTACACTGCTGGCAATCAGTCTCTAACAGCATACAGTAAATCCTCCCCCAATAATGAGACCACACTTCACTTTGCGGGTTAAGCAGGAACTGATTTACTGGGGCTAACTGCCTGGCTTTTATGCAGGTCTCCCACCTGGTGGACACTCCCGTAGGGGACCAAATGGGAGACTGGGACACAAAGGGTAAAAGGACCAATCACAGACTTACACATTTCAACCATCCCACAATGCATCACAATCCCTCCTCTCTGCTCTGGAGATAATTGAGAAGTAATTCAATTATCTCCAAAGACAGAGGCAAAACTCCATTAACCACATGGCAGAAAACAAACAGTAAAAGACATAAAATTACCTACAGTTACATTCAGTACATAAAACATATACGTTCTACATATCCCCAGATAGCTCAGGTCTGAGCGCACATTATTAAGCGAATGGCGCTCAGACCACACGAATACAGTTTAAACGCCATGGAGCCAATGTCTTTACACAGTCAGTTTCATGCGAATGGGCTCCATGGGATTCCTATCTGGGGTACAACACACTCAAGCAAATCTACCGAACACCCAGCAGAAAAGCACAAATAAGTCTTTTCTGCAGGGAAAAAGATGTCTTTTAACATGGGGCCATAGTCCAAAGGCAGCAGGCGAGCAACCAGGCTTCTCCGGTGTACAGTGGTGAGGTTGGTTTCGCCACAAGGACCATTGATTTTTTAATTAATTTTTTTACTTTTTTTTTTTTACAAGAGATAACTCTGCAATATTATCACTAGTTAGTAGGGTTCGCTGTGTGTGTGTGTGAATAGCGGCAGGGATAGGAAGTTACAGTATATACCTGCATCTCCCTACTTACTGATCCGTGGGAGAGCAGCTACACAGCACATAGAGTCCAGACAGCAGCTCCCAGCCTGCAGAGACAGCCTACAGCTCCAGGAAGTTAGGGATGGGGTAAAGGCTGCAGGGAGACATGGGGACACTGAGACACTAGGGGACACTGTGAGACATGGGGACACAGGGAGAGGCACTTGTGGACACTTGAAGACACACATCCCCATGTCTCACAGTGTCCCCTAGTGACTTCGGGAAACCTGGGAGACATGGAGACACAGACACTAAGGAACACTGGGTGACATGGGGACACTGGGAGACAAGGAGACACTGGGAGCAATCCATCTCTTATGTCACTCCTTGTGATTTACACCATGTGATGTCAATCATACATAATTAGTTGTGCTAATTAGGAAGGCCTGTATTTTTTTCCAAGGTGGCAATCCTGACTACTCTTCACATACTCTTGCTTACGTATGGAAACTTAAGAGGAATATATAGAAACACAACTTATGTGGAAACAAGACTTATGTGAAATGAAATTAGTTAAGGTAATGCTGACTTTGGTCTCTCTAACACTGTGGCGTGTTCCCTTTCTTCTACACTCACAACATCCACCTTTTCTCTGTCTCAGACTGTATACCAGAAGCTTCTGCCTGCTAGTAAGAAGGTAAGGAGACAAGTGGACATGTGAGTGCTAGGGGACAGTCCTTAGAACGCATGGAGCGAGCGCATCATTAAACGCATTTATGCCAAGCTCAGGATGCTGTTGGCCAGCATGCATGATTGGCAGGCAACCTGACATGCATTCATGCCAGGCTAGCCTTCCAATTCTTTGGGCAGACATGCCTCCTTTTTGGGCATGTTTGTCCTTTTCGGTAGTTCTGATAACATAATCCGCGTCAGTGGCACACCCTTTTACACCGCTCATTGACTTCCTGCTTCCCTGGACACTGCTGTTAGGGGGTATAGATTTACTTGAAAGATGAAAGCATGAATTAGAGAGAGATTAGTATATTTTAAGAGAATCTGAGGTCTCATAGCTGCATCCTATGAGTTTCCCTCTGGCAACATCTCCACCAGATACATAACACTTGAGAGGTAGTCTACTATAAAATGCTCACTTTATGGTGAAGGCTGTAAAGTAAGGCATATTCAATAACATTTACATATATTTACATATATATTCATATTCCGCTAATGGAACTCTTTTATACAAAATCACCTTATGATTTAGCATAACTGTGCTATTAATATGTTTGCAGCTTTAGTGGTTTTAAAGAGTTCTCTCTGTCCCTCTGTTTTAATCCTTGCTTTTATCACTCAAAAAACAACTCTATTTTATTAGACCAGATTCAGTAAACGGAAATAGTCTTAGTTATTTTAACTAATTAAAACTGTGAATAAAGCAATTTGTGATGTATTTGGACTTTGAGGGGTTTAGGTCCACCAAATAATCGAAAAATGTATAAAGATTGGACACAGGGCTTTCCTGTAGAGTTATTGGTAGTAGTATCGTCTCTGATGAAGCCTGTGTATTGGACCAATAAATATGTTTTTATAACTGATCTGGGGTTGACGATGTTTTGTTGATATAAGGATCAGGGAACCACAAAACATTTTTTTATGTCTTTATTTTTTATTTTTATTTTCATTATTTAACCTCTGCTCTCTAGTGAGTATACAGAACATGATAATTATAGCTGTAGATAGTGTTTGCTGGACTGTGAAACAGGAAGGGTGAATTTCCCTACTTTACTGAAACAAATTATCCAACAATGCAGAAAATCAAACGAAACAAAACAAACAATATATATGAGTATTAATATAATATATTATTATGATCCAATGCACAGTTTGTGAAGTTACAATTATTCTAATACAGATTAAAAATTTAGCAATTTATTTTTCATAACCTACTTCCATCAAGTTGAATAATTGAATTTGCTTTTATAATACATGAAGTAATATACATTTCTGTTAGTTGCTTCCTTTGTTTCTCTCTACAAAATAATAAATTAAAACTAAAGGGTTTGCTCACTAAACACTGAATTGGAGTGAATTGAAAATTGAACTGCACAATGCAGATTAACCCCTTAAGGACACATGACGGAAATATTCCATCATGATTCCCTTTTATTCCAGAAGTTGTGTCCTTAGGGGGTTAAAATATCTGTAGTAGAGCTTCCTGTACCCCGGCTGGGTCCCTCCGCCACCGCCCTTTTCACTCCCAGTAACTGGACGGCACACAGTTCTGAGAGTACAACTGATTTTAATGAGCCAAACTAGTCCTTTTATGCACAGACCCCTCCCAGGAATCTCTGTGCCTGGAAGATAATTGAATTAAAGACTGGTAAGTTATCTATTTCCCAGATACAGAGAGCCAAACATAAAAACATAAAAGTACACCAAAACATAATAAAAACATACAGTAACCCCAAATGTCTTATATCCCCAAACAGTCCAAATAGTGCTCAGATCCATGCAGTGTAGGGGAATCGCCATAAGGGTAAAGTTCTGACCGGCCGCACACTTTGTCCTATGCCCAAAATAGTTCCAGAGCAATGTGTGCTTTGGCCGGTAAACTTTAGGGAGCTCCTGCCACTGGAATACGTGGTGCTCCGCCTGGTTCTCAGGGAGCATTTGTTCCTCTTAGTCTCAGGCATCTTCCCTCCAAAAAGAGCTCTCCTGGCAGGTTGGCAAGTGGGTTAAAATACCGAAACCAGATGACTGGGAACCTCAAAGTCCTGATGCTGAGATTAGTTCCATAGCTGTCGCTGCTAAGTACCGCTGAGGACCATTCTTGGGTTTGTTCGTACGAACAGATGATAGGGAGTGAGTGTTCGGTTCAATTCATTAGAGGGAAAGTGCAGAATCAGAGGCACTGAGGGAAAGACGCTGGAGGCGGCCAGGCAGGTTAAAGGACCACTATAGGCACCCAGACCACTTTAGCTTAATGAAGTGGTCTGGGTGCCAGGTCCCTCTAGGGTTAACCCTTTTTTGTATAAACATAGCAGTTTCAGAGAAACTGCTATGTTTATATTAGGGTTAATCCAGCCTCTAGTGGCTGTCTCATTGACAGCCGCTAGAGGCGCTTGCGTGCTTCTCACTGTGAAAATCACAGTGAGAAGACGCCAGCATCCATAGGAAAGCATTATGAATGCTTTCCTATGAGACTGGCTGAATGCGCGCGCGGCTCTTGCTACTCATGCGCATTCAGCCGAGTAGGAGGAGAGGAGGCGGAGAGGAGGAGGAGAGCTCCCCGCCCGGCGCTGGAGAAAGAGGTAAGTTTAACCCCTTCCATCCCCTAGAGTCCGGCGGGAGGGGGACCCTGTGGGTGGGGGCACCCTCAGGGCACTATAGTGCCAGGAAAAGGAGTATGTTTTCCTGGCACTCCTTTAACTCCTGAACAGGGTCTCAGGACATGGATCATAGTCGGTGGGCAGGAGTCCCGCTTCCGCACTCCTCCAGGAGTTCATGGTAAACGTTTGTGTTAAAGAGCGTTTGTCACAATATCTAACAGGGAAAAAATCTTGAAACTAGGGTTTAGTCACAACTTGGGCTATTTTACCATACAGTTTGTCATTTGTGGAGGGGACACACATAATACTGCCATGGCACACTAACAGTAAAGGAATATATTAGTAAGTATGAAATAATTTTCCTGTTTTCATGCAATATCCATGGCAGCACTTACTCATGGGTTATACCCAAGCAAATTTCAGGGTGGTAAAATAACTTTCAACTTGAGCCTTTGTCCAAGCCATATTGAAAAAATTGGAGAATGACTGAGGCAGAGACACTGGAAGTATCAATCTGATTCCTAATATCCCAGTCAAAAAAATATGTCCCATATGCAATGATGTAGACTTTTTCCTCGCTCGCATACGAGTAGAAATCAGGAGAACCCTTGTTTCTAAATCTTGTTTTTTTTAAATCTCCACACCTTCTGAGGATTGTGATGGACAAAAGGACCCTGATATAGGAGAACCCAAAATTCCTTGGAGAGATAGCAGAGCTGCTATTGTCAGTTGCAAGGACTCCTCTGCCAATAAGGTATTACTGCCAGAACTTTGGTCCCCTCCTGTGATATCTTTTGTAGGACTCGAAAGTCAGAGGAAGTGGAAGATATATATAACATTTTCTTAAATTCCAAGGATGTGACATAGCATCCGCTCCCTCCGACAGAGGGTAAAAAGTCAGAGAGAAGAATCTTTCCACCTGGCGATTCGCAATAGTAGCTATAAGGTCCTCTTGGGTTCCCCATCTGCCGACAATATTCAGGAATGCTTGTTGATAAATACTCTATTACCCTGGGTATAAATAATTAATTCCCTCTAGTAAGTAAATCCGTCGTAGTGTTCTTTGACCCTGAGAGATAAATTGCTGAGATACCTTCTAGGTGGCACTTGGCCCAGATCATCAGAGGATGAATGGTCGTATAAGATGAGAGCACCTTGTTCTTTTTCTCCCATGGTGGTTTATGTAATACACCACTGTAGTGTTAGCAAGTACAAAAGGTAGGATAAGTGCTAAGAGAGCAATTAATATAAACAGTACATTAAGCTGCAAATACTGAAAGTAAGGAATACCCCCAACACCTGAAAAGAATCAAAACAACACAAAACACAAAAACCAGGTTGAGCTGAATATTGTATGTATTAAGTCCAATTCTTTGGAAGATCCTGGCTTGGATTCGTCCAGGTTTTAGTTGGTGATAAGTATATGTAATAAAACAGAAACTAACCAGTTATAGTGCAAGTAGCCAAATACCTAGAGTAGGACACACAACAAGGATATGTGGGATCACACTCACATTTGCTAGGGCTATAGACCAGCTCTGAGTAAAACAGCGTACAGTGGTATAATCCCCACTGATGGATATGTAGCTCCTTAGGGGTAAGTCTCACAGCATCCAGATGAATATAACATAGTAAAACATAAAAAAGAAAACAATAGTGCTTACTGTGTAAAACCAAAAACAGGGTAAAAATATAAATGGTAATTTACTCACATTTAGTAGAGCAGTAACACCACTCAAGAGGTAGATTCTCCACACATTATGTGTGTGTTTTAATATTGTTTTTAAGCATTAAAGTTTATTTGGCTTACACCTCTTTTATAGTGCATGTATTATACTTTTTATGCTTTACATTACTTTTATTGTTTTACATTGTTTCTGGCACATGTAAAAACTCCTGAAGTATCTACTCCACTCCACATCCAATCCCTGGCAAGGATTGCCCTCGGGGGAATCTACACAACATTATATCTTTGGTGGGGTCATACCACCCAAGCACTATCTCTCGAGTGGTTTTACTGCTCTACTAAATGTGCCCAATGTTTTAGTCCTATTGTAGATGACATCGACCCCAACAAACACATAAATTGCTTGTCTGTTATCCACTTCCTCTGTGAGAAACTCCTTCTTGTTGATTGTAGACAAACTACACTGCAATGAAAGTAAATGCAAAATACTACCTGCAGTTAAGATGTTCCAAGGAACAACATAATCTAGTGAAAGGGCACAAGAGAAAATATCATTAAAGAATTCAGTCAGACTTTTAAACCCAGTGTCCCTGGATAAAAAAAAATCTAAAAAAATAATCAATGAAAAGATTATTATATTAAAATAGTTTTGTTGTATTATATCTAGTATTATTATTGGTGTAAAAATCACTGCCTTACAACCGGAAACCCAGGTTTGAATCCCATTCAAAACACCTCATCAGTAAGTATCCTTAGGCATGACAATTAAGGCTATAGATATGCCTATCTCAATCGTCATAGATTGTAAGCTCATTTGAGCAATGTCTTCTACCCCTTTCTATAACTGTAAAGTGCAGCATAATATGTTGTTGCTATATAAATAATAAATTGTCTTCGATTTTCATACTTTTTAATTTAATGTGTCCTTTTCATTAAACAGATTTGCCTCCACGGTGGAAATGAGGCAGAAGTAGAAGAACGAGATCTAGTGGTAGAAGATCCAAAAGTTAAGGATATCTCAATTCTCTGCAGATTCATTAGCAACTATCTCCCAGACTTACACCCTGCGCCTGCTGTCGTTGAGCAATGCATGTATACGGTGAGCATATTTGGAACATGTTGGCGCTATGTAAATAATAGTACGTGTCCTGTGATGTTGGGGTAAACAAGAGTAAATATCAATCTAAGAAAGAATAAGTAGATTTTTCTAGCAATTTCCATAGAGAAAATCAATGAGAGCTAATATTTGCTTTATATATAAATGAAAAAAAAAACTGTTGGAGATTGTTTTGTTACAACAGCAGCAAAGCCCTTTAGCCAATCAATGCCATTTGGGTCACCTGACTCTAGACTAAGGTTAATATGGAACAGTGGTTCATCACTTTTATTGGCATGGAGGCAAATGATAAACATGGCATACACTTGCAATCCATTTTTCAATAGGTATTGATGAATGAATAATATATAGCAAAATAACTTCAGCAAAACACCTCCATTGGACTGCCCCATTGTCATAGATGTCTCCATTGAATCAAGGATGGCAGTACTGCTACAGTAAATGGTTTATTGTGGCAGTTTCATGGAAACTGACATATATATCATACATGTTCCATCCAATGGAGGCCTAGTGACAAATGAAAGAACCACGCATGGACATGGACCAAAATCACATCTCATAAATCATAGGAAACTCAATAGTAACACAAAACAAATCATCATTTATATTTACAAATATGAACAGGCTGCACATATACACACCTCCTACCATTAAGATGTGGCAATGCACAGTAGTTGTTCTGGTGAATATAGTTAGTCCCTTTAAGCTTTTTGCAGTAAACACTGTCTCTCCAGTGGCCACTCGTCAAATGTCTACTAGAGATGCTTCCTGGGGCAGTGCTGCGCAGTGCAGCACTGACATTCAGTGTCTCCATGATGAGATGCTGATTGGCCAGGTCGGCATTTGGCTCTGCCCCCAGCCCGCCCCATTGGCAATGTCAGCCAATCCAAAGCTTTCCTGAGTTCATCACTTCTAATGTCAGCGAAGGCGGGAGATCAAGGAAAGAGCCAGCACCAAAAGACTGGAATAAAGGTAAGATTTTACTATATTTAGGGAAGTGGGGAGGTCAGGGGGTGGTATATAGGGGTTTTAATACTATAGAGACAGGAATACATGTTTGTGTTCCTAACTCTACAGGGAGTGCAGAATTATTAGGCAAATTAGTATTTTGACCACATAATCCTCTTTATGCATGTTGTCTTACTCCAAGCTGAATAGGCTCGAAAGCCTACTACCAATTAAGCATATTAGGTGATGTGCATCTCTGTAATGAGAAGGGGTGTGGTCTAATGACATCAACACCCTATATCAGGTGTGCATAATTATTAGGCAACTTCCTTTCCTTTGGCAAAATGGGTCAAAAGAAGGACTTGACAGGCTCAGAAAAGTCAAAAATAGTGAGATATCTTGCAGAGGGATGCAGCACTCTTAAAATTGCAAAGCTTCTGAAGTGTGATCATCGAACAATCAAGCGTTTCATTCAAAATAGTCAACAGGGTCGCAAGAAGCGTGTGGAAAAACCAAGGCGCAAAATAACTGCCCATGAACTGAGAAAAGTCAAGCGTGCAGCTGCCACGATGCCACTTGCCACCAGTTTGGCCATATTTCAGAGCTGCAACATCACTGGAGTGCCCAAAAGCACAAGGTGTGCAATACTCAGAGACATGGCCAAGGTAAGAAAGGCTGAAAGACGACCACCACTGAACAAGACACACAAGCTGAAACGTCAAGACTGGGCCAAGAAATATCTCAAGACTGATTTTTCTAAGGTTTTATGGACTGATGAAATGAGAGTGAGTCTTGATGGGCCAGATGGATGGGCCCGTGGCTGGATTGGTAAAGGGCAGAGAGCTCCAGTCCGACTCAGACGCCAGCAAGGTGGAGGTGGAGTACTGGTTTGGGCTGGTATCATCAAAGATGAGCTTGTGGGGCCTTTTCGGGTTGAGGATGGAGTCAAGCTCAACTCCCAGTCCTACTGCCAGTTCCTGGAAGACACCTTCTTCAAGCAGTGGTACAGGAAGAAGTCTGCATCCTTCAAGAAAAACATGATTTTCATGCAGGACAATGCTCCATCACACGCGTCCAAGTACTCCACAGCGTGGCTGGCAAGAAAGGGTATAAAAGAAGAAAATCTAATGACATGGCCTCCTTGTTCACCTGATCTGAACCCCATTGAGAACCTGTGGTCCATCATCAAATGTGAGATTTACAAGGAGGGAAAACAGTACACCTCTCTGAACAGTGTCTGGGAGGCTGTGGTTGCTGCTGCACGCAATGTTGATGGTGAACAGATCAAAACACTGACAGAATCCATGGATGGCAGGCTTTTGAGTGTCCTTGCAAAGAAAGGTGGCTATATTGGTCACTGATTTGTTTTTGTTTTGTTTTTGAATGTCAGAAATGTATATTTGTGAATGTTGAGATGTTATATTGGTTTCACTGGTAATAATAAATAATTGAAATGGGTATATATTTGTTTTTTGTTAAGTTGCCTAATAATTATGCACAGTAATAGTCACCTGCACACACAGATATCCCCCTAACATAGCTAAAACTAAAAACAAACTAAAAACTACTTCCAAAAATATTCAGCTTTGATATTAATGAGTTTTTTGGGTTCATTGAGAACATGGTTGTTGTTCAATAATAAAATTAATCCTCAAAAATACAACTTGCCTAATAATTCTGCACTCCCTGTATAGTGTTACTTTAAGGAGAGGTAGTGAACTAGTAGTACTACAATATTTTGTTATTTATGTACAGATATAGGTATCTGTGTTGGAAATAAATAAAATCAAGTTGGAAACTGTTTATGACATAGAGTATTCCTTTAACTCTGATCAAAAACCCAAGGAGAGTTAAGCCTCTGTTTGGTATCAGTTTTCCAATTAAGGCGTCAGTGAGTTATATGTCAATATCTATTCAGAGTATTAAAGAGCTGTACATCCAGCTAGCATTTAGTTGATGGCCTGATCTTTTCATCTTATCATCTTTTTATATTCCAGAATTAATATGAACCAGCAAAAAATTAACAAGGCAAAACATTGTTATTATTATTTTTTTCTTAGTTTGAGGCAGTTCCAAGGATGATATTTCTTGGATTGGCACCTTTACATGTTATGTTGTTTAACTCCAGAAAATAAACATAGCCTGAGTATGTACAGCAAGGAAAATACCTAGCTGTGCCAGAGCAGTGAGTGGTATAGCAAGATGAAAATGTGGAGTCTTGTATTTAGTTAGGAGCGAAAGAGGGTGCATTGGGTTAATTAGCAGCGCAGCTGCAGTTTTTGTAGTAAGGTAAAAATTCAAGACTTTGTGTTGAGTTGTGTTAAGCTATATAGATTATTGTAATCGGTAAGGTCCAATCATTTAATGGTTATGGAATACTGTATATTATAAATGCTACACTAGAAGTAACTATCAGCAATGCCAAAAGTATAAATAGCTGCTATGGGAAATGGCACATAGAGTCCAGCTCATAAACAGGTGTAAAACAATTCAAGACATGACTATTGCGGTTACATGGAATTCTTACCAAATTGAAATATACTAGGAATTCAAATATGAGCATGAGAAATGAACTATTAGCAGCTACCAGTTAGAGGTGCCATCAGACACTTTGGAGCATCTTGGGAAAACCTAGACATACCCATCCAAACATATGTACACACAGCTATAAAGATAGATAATCAGAGAGGGCTGAGTCTAGCAAGAGACGAGGAAGGTCGCATGGCGGCAGAGCTCCCGACTCCAAACGAGCTAAATCGCCGCAACCAGAACCCGACCACGACCCAAACACTCCCCGGAGTGCCCCACGGCTTACCCAATCCACATGGGCAGAAAAACAAAGAAGCAAAAGCCTGACAAGCCCCGTCTGGGTATGAATATCGGGGACATGTGGAAGCAGGCCCATGAGACAGCCGGCGCAACAATGGCGTCCCTACACGGAGGCTGCTCCGATTTCTCGGATGGCGCGTCTGATGAAGAAGAAGGGAGCTGCATGCCGATTAAAGCTCCACTACCGCCAGACAGGCCTCGAGTACCTGCATTAGCTCCCACACCGGTGACCATGGAGGCCATCAGGGAACTCATGGCCGCTCATCACAGCAAAATCTCTGCAGAAGTGGCCACGATAAGGGAGGATCTGAAAGGCCTCTCAGCGCGGCTCGGGACCGTGGAATGCACCTCTAGCGGCCACACCAGCCAGATAGAGGAGCTGAAAGCAACAGTACACGACCTCAAACAACTGGCAGCACTACATGACCAGCAACTGGCCACACAAGAGGATAAGCGACGGCAAAGCAATCTAAAACTACGAGGGGTCGCAGATTCTGTACCCGAGGCCGAGCTCCCACATTATGCTAGGCGGCTACTGACTGCGCTCTTAACCCCGAAAGTGGCCAAATCCATAATATTGGACGACATCTTCCGTATACCACGGCCAACTACAGCACCACCAGCTGCCACAGGGGACATAATCCTCCGATTTCAAAGCGCAAGGGACAAGAGGGCTGTTCTAGAAGCCACCAAGGGCCTAACAACCTATTCTTTTGAGGACATGACTCTGTCGTTTTATGCAGATCTCTCAAGTGGAACGCTGAACTGGAGAAGATCCCTCAGACAGCTTACATCCTTCTTGAGGCAGAAATGACTCAGGTACCGCTGGGGTCCAGGGCGCGCACTACACATAGAAGGCGCAAGTGGCCCTCTAGTGGTGCAGAACATACAAGAGGCCACAAGGACACTGGAAGACATGCAGCTGCCCCTGACGGCACCGGACACTGCTAATCCACCGGCTGGAACTACAAGCAGCCCAGGGAGGGGCGCAGTTGACGCGCCAATCTTTGTGCCACGACGGCCCCCCAACAGGACCACGTGCGGCTCCCACAACCTGAAACAGAACAAACACTACCGGGACGCTTTCTCTCTCTTTTCTTTTACCGGGCAACAACCTGGCCCACTGCCCAACAGATGAGAACACCCATCCACAGCGAGAGTAATCGAGACTGTCTGCTCGCATTTTTATTTTTATTAGGTTTTTTTTTGTGTTTATTGATGCTGACTCATACCAAATGTTTACCACACCTGTATAGACACCCATATTTACAACACGTATCTAAACAACCAGATCAGGCAGAGTCCGTTTAAAATATATGCTTAAATGCCTGACCCACCACCTTAAGCACGGCATAACCTTCCAGACAACATTACATAACATGTCACTACCATGTTTTCCCTTAAAAAACTTCCGAACGTTGTCATACAGTGGCATCCACAATAATGCCCCAGCCTGCACCTAATAAAACCCCAGCCTGCACTTACTAACGCCCCAGCCTGCATTTATAAGGCTCTTAGCCTAACCACGCACGAACGGTGCCCTTTTGACATGGCTGGCAGGAGCTTTGAGAGAGGCCCCACTCATTTAGATATATTAATTTCCAAACAGTATAACATAAGCACAATCCTTTTTACATCGCCCATACGCTCACAACCTATAATGTTACAATATAAACATGAGCTACACCTTTCACATGCTGACTAATTGTTAATAAATGTTGGGTATCATGCTGGTCAACACTGTTGGGACATGACGAGCCCACCTGATCTTTATTTCCATGCACACCATAATATGACATTGCGCATAGCTATTACATGTTCCTTCCTATTAAGCAACACCTGTCCTGGCGTCACTTTGATATGCCTGTTTTGTTCTCTTTCGGTAAATTTATTTTGTTAAATCTTTTTGGTTAAATCGTGAATTTCTCACTCAAACAAAAACAAAGTGCAACGCATAACAAATATTTCACCAGAATTGTCTTTATTTGCCTACTACTGTATTCTTATGTGACCACCTTGACAAATGTACCTACTTTTGCACTTACAAAAATAAAGAATTAAAAAAAAAAAAAAAGATAGATAGATAGATAGATAGATAGATAGATAATCAAAGATACACAACTTTCCAGGTACCCACTTCAATACAAATTTCCAGATACACACACATCCAGGCGCGCACACACACACACAAAGACTCACTGTCATACACAGTGTCGCATATATATATACACATTCTGAAGGTCACACACAAAAAATACCAGATGCACACTGTTAGTTAGTGCTCATAAGCATATATCAAACTTCTCCTGATGCACTTGTCATAGAACACCAGGAACACAAAGCTGTATTACTAAGTCTATAGTGTCCCTCTGCTCCCGCTCCCCCCCCTCCTTTGCCCCTCCACTGCGGCTGTGAAAGGGTTAAAAAATCATTTTCTCACTTACCTTATTCCAGCACAGGATTCCCTGAAGGGGAGCCTAATGTGCATGTGCAATGAGCGCAGTGCACATTAAGCGTTTCCTATAGGGAAGCATGGAATCGTTGCTTTCCTATAAAGGATTTTACGACTCTGGATGTCCTCATGCAATGCAAAACAGCAGGAAGCGCCTCAAGTGGTTGTTTGGTAGACAGCGACTAGAGGCAGTTTCTCTGAATTGGCAGTGTGTTACATTGCAGAGATAAGGGGCACAGGGAAACTGCACCCAGACCACTTCAATGAGATGAAGTGGCCCGGGTGCCTATAGTGTCCCTTTAAGCATCACTACCATTTTAATTTGTATGTTATGCATGTACATGATTGACTGATTGCTGCATATGTCAGTGTTATGTTAGTAACTTTTAGTCCTTTTCACTGGATGGAGCTGAGCCGTAAACTAAAGAATATAGAATAATGGAGGCAAAAGGTTGGGAATGTGCAGTGTAGCATTAAAATAATGTAACATTAACATCATGTATTGTTATGTTTATCAATCTTTCCTTCATTTAGGTCACCCCTGACCAAAATGCTATATTAGATCACCATCCACTGCACAAAAATATCACCATTGGAGCGGGATTTTCAGGTGAGATGAAACAATGCAATAAAATATTGCCTTAAAATGCAACTTGTTCCAGTGGTAATGCCATTTCATTCTTTTACAATAGGTCATGGCTTCAAGCTATCTCCTTTGATTGGAAAGATCTTGAGTGAGCTCTGCACCGGGGCACCGCCATCCTACGATCTGAAACCATTTCAAATCACTCGCTTCAAATAACTTTCCTTTAACCAATAGAAATAATACATGTCTGTGTGTTATTGTGGCTGATCAGTCATTGTGAAGATGTTTGGAATATTGAATCTGCATTAACCAGAATGTTTGTCAGGATATATCTAATTTCACACCGCGATCAGTTGCTTATTTTATTGTAGAATGGAAGACTAGGCAGGAAGTTATTTGGATCATATAAAAGAGATTGAGGAGTAAACGAAAACAAGAACAAGGTTGACAAAGATTAGGTTGAGTTGGGGAAACGACTTGTAGAGAGATAAAGAGGACAAAAAGAAAAAGGAAAGCAGGCAACAATGATCTGAGTACAAAAGGTGGTAGAGTTTGATGGAGGCAAGGTAAAAAAAAAATGTGGACAAAAAGATGGGAAGAATCAGTAAAGGAAGACTTTGGGAAAAGGTGTAAGAAAAGGAGACAAATGTAGGAAAAACTGTCAACAGAGTGCTATAAAACTATATATAGAAAAAACTAATAGAGAAAGGGTGACAAGATACACAATGCTTATATATAATCCAAACATTTTATATGTGGTAGATACTGTGATGATGATTTTAACATATCACATAGTAATAAAAGTAATAGTAATAATAGTAATAATAGTAATAGATAGTAATATCTGGACTGTATAAACCTCATTAAGTGACCACAGGAAAGCATACAGTTGAAGAGAGTATATTAAAGCAGTTTATGTAGTAAGTTTTGTAGTTGTGTCCCATGTTATGTTTAGTGTAGGATCCACCAATCCTGTAATACTATGATGTAGTGGTGATCTTAAACACAATATAGATATGATTATAATTAAGTCAAGTGAGTGTACGTAGACTTGAAAGATTTCATACTTTATTATAATTTAGTCACACATTATTTTTGTCTGTGTACATTTCCTTAACCCCTTAAGGACCAAACTTCTTTAATAAAAGGGAATCATGACATGTCACACAAGTCATGTGTCCTTAAGGGGAGGGACACTATAGGCACCCAGACTATTTCATCTCATTGAAGTGGTTTTGGTGCAGTGCCCCTGTCCCCCTTAGTCCTGCAATGCAGTGTTTACATGGCAGTACTAAGACTGCCTTTTGTGGTTGTCTACCCGAGGAGGATGTGCAGCATCAGATAAAAACCCATATGAAAGCATGAGGATCCCATCGGATATCGGCACTGGAATCGGGTATGTGAACAAAGGGTTTGTTTTTTAACCCTTTATGTGCCAGGGGGCACAACTACAACTTTGCATTCCTAACACTATAGTTTTGTTTTAAATGGTCACACATGATCCCTAAAGCACTTTAGATTGCTGAAATCCTTTATGTGTAAAGAGTGTGTTCTCTCTTTTCATTTTACAAAGGTGAAGATTTCATCAGAAATGCTCCTCCCCCCCCCCTCCCCAGACTGTCTTAGCTGTAGCTCAGTAAAGTTAAATTCAACAGCTTTGCAAAGACTTCTCATTGAGCTGCATAAAGGAAGACTGTGATTGGACATCAAAAAAAAGTCTAGGTTGGGGATCAAGGGGAGGGGTTACAAAGGAGAACTGCAGCTTTTGCGAGCTGTTTTTAGATATATGCCAATGAAAAAATGCATAATTGGATGCATACATGTTTTAATTTGGGGCATGTATTCTAAACAGTGATTTTAATTTTTTCCTATGTGGGCAGTGGAGTGTATAACTTTAACGTGCTACTCCAACATCCATGACCATGTCTTCTTTTATAAGTGGTGCCTATTGAGGGAGGAATCTGGCTGTGCAGTGTTTCTGCCTGAACTCTGCTCTGTCAATTCTGTGCATATGTTATGTTTGTCATCAGCACACAATGCAGACTGGTGACAGCCTTTCTCTAATTTCTAATGTGTCCCCTCTCTGTTCTATGTACACAAAAATTCAAAATACTCTCTGTGCATTGCTCATCTTTCCTCCTCAACCCAGGGTTCTGGTTTCTAACAAAAAACTGGTCTCTAGAACCTATTATTATGGATGATATCTGGTCTAACTATTGAGCTGCGCCCTAACTGCCTTGTGTGCCTCATCGGACTTGAACCATCTGTCGTTAACTGCAAGGTTTTAATGAAACCCCTTGTGTACACACAAATCTATCTAAAAATTATTCATGGTTAGGGGATAGCCACTAAACGTTGATTTTATTCATAGATCAAGCAAGAAATGACCAATAGAGGGGGGAAAACAATATTTGTATAATATATCTTTAATAACTATATAAATATATGAACATTGATTTTTCTTTATGATTTTCCTTTATTGGTTACTTCTCGCTTGATCTGTGGACCAAATGTTGCAAAAATCCACCTATCAGTGTACATCAAAATATATACATACATATTTATATTTTGCAGTACACTGATTGGGTCAATGTTCACACTCTATTGGTTTGTCTGGGTTATTTTTCCCAATACGATCCCATGGGTGAAATGCATCTGAACCAGATTGCTACATGTATAAAACCTGAATTGCCCAAAAAGAAAACCGAAACAAAATTCAGACAATTCGATTTGAACAAACCATTTTTTTTTTTTTTTACAATGCACACGTCTACTAGTAACCAGGGACTATTCTTTTTATACCATGTGCAAGGGTTTAAAACAATCTTAGCAATCTAATAATGCTAATTAAAGGACATGTGTTAAATTATTATATACAATATTTGATGAAACCCTACTGATTAATAATATAAAATTGAATATTTACACAAATATTAGCATAACACATTGTTTTTATGTTGTATCTACACGGTTTTAGTTTTTTACTGTTTTGGTGAGATGTCCAGTTTACTATACGTGTGATAGGGTTAACCAAACGTCTCTGTAAAACGTCTCTATTAAATGTTATGTACACACTAAATAAACTAAATATACAAGCATTCTTGAAATATCCTGATTCCATGCACCTTCATATCAATGATGTCATTATGGCTGATGTGAAATTGAATGTGTGCATACATAAACTGATCTCATCAAGAACAGGAAATCTGTAGAACCAGAGCCACCAAATAGCAGAAATGCACGGCTACAACAAAAAGCTATAAATCTGCCGGATGTCACCTAAAACACCAACTAATTTGCCTTTCCCAAGCTTTTCAAATAAAATATGTGCTTAATAGGTGTAATGTAGCTGTCATCGCCCAACATCAAGGTTTTTCATGGCTGGATATAAAAAACATAGCAAATTTAACGACTACAGCACCTCTCCTGCAAATTGTAAATGTGTGTCCATAAAATTGTTTGTATTAATAGAATAAAATAAGATGACCCACATTCTGCAGCAGTGATGATTACATTGTATTTGTGATGCATGAGAGAATGCCCAAACTGTAATCTTCTGGGTCTGTAACATTTTTTTATGTATGCATCACAAGTAATTCTCCCTGTGCAGTATCATAAAGCATCTTGTCTATTTTTATGCTATTATCTAGTCGATTCAGAGTAAAGCACTTACATCTATAGGATCCTCTTGTCTAGGCACAAATATTATATATTTTCCAAGTACACACTAGGTGCCGGGGAGACTTTGATGAATGTCAGAACGCATTGTAAAATATGCTACATAGCCTAAGATGCTTGCTGGGAGTTATTACGTTTTTGAATTTAAATGGTCATTCCAAGCACTATAACCACTTCAGTGTTCTGTAGTGGTCATGATAAAGAACACTGTATGTGCTATGTAACTCCACCTCCGGCCGCATTATTAGCCATGCTGTTGTGGTTATGATTCTCAAAACAATTCATCAGTGGGAAAAAATGAATGCGATACACTTGAATAAGTAAATGGAATCTGCTACCAGCTATTCATTTGCTTGTGAGTTCTGATTTATGCAGATAGTCATTGATTTGTTTTAGGAATTAGTGACAATGCATAACATGCAATGAAGTGTCAATGGCACAGATTTATAACGCGCAAAGTTATTAACCTAAAAAAAAAAAAAAGGGTATAACCACATACACTGATAATAAACAACACTATTTTACTTTATAAAGTGGTTCAGAGACCAACATCAATTCATCACGTAAGCATTGGAGAGAATAAAAGAAATGGATAATATATAACGTAGTATATATAATAATGAAAGAATATATAACCATAAAAATAGTACTCACAATGAGCATAGATCACAATGACAATGCCATCGAGACAGGTCAAGGATGGGATTATTCTGTAAAATATCCACTTCAGCATCTGCCATTAAGTTTTATTAAGAAAACTATAGGAGGTGAGGAATTAGCAGATTCTGGTGTGAGTGCAAATTAGGAGAAGCAAATCCTTTGGGCAGCCTGCAGAATTGAGATGATAAATGTCCACTTAAAGGATTTCTAAAATGAAACACTGAGAATCAGGGCTGCTAGTACACGAAAAAGTCTTGAAAAACTAGTGTATGTTTCTGTACATGTGCTAACATTCAAATGTGCTATTACGGGGTTTCTTCAACCACCATGACCACTTCAGTGATTTAAAGTGATCATGGTGGTATAAGTCAGTATGTGAAGAGTTTCTGCTTGAAACATTGCACTTACATACAGAGCTAATTGTGTGCTGGGGGCTTGTTGCAACCACAGCACATGTGACATTGGTGGCCCAGAACTTCTGTGCATACATTTAGTCTGTTGTCAGCACACACTGAATGCAGACATCAGACTTAGAAATGTTCACATTGTAGGCACAACATCTGCAAAGGTAAGCTAGCTATCACCTTACGCCCTCCCAACTTTCTCTTCCTTCATTGGTTAGTTATTCTTTTTGTGTGTGTGTGAGCATCTGTCTATGTATGTGTGATTGTCTGCCAGTACCCATGACAATACACAAGGAAATTCAAAATAAAGGGATGGTTGGTTTTATTGAACACCAGGTTGACAGCAGAATGGGGTATTCTGTCAGGACAGTGAGGTTCGACTTGCCCAGGACCCTGCAAATCCCAAGGGTGGCCCAACACGAATCCCATTTGGGAAGTGTCTCTGGTATCCTCAAGAATGATTTGGAATTTCCTACCTGATATGAAACGCACTGCAAATTTGCAGATAGAAGATTCCCTGGTCCATCATAAGATGGACACATACCAGATGTCTTTCTATGTATATTCAGACACCAGAGAATTAGTGTCTGACCTAAATAGCTGATCTAAATAGTCTTTGATAGATTAACTCATAGTATTTGTTTTCCTTAATGAAAGCACGGAACGCATCATCACATATATCTACTAAGTCAGGCTTTAATGATACCCATTTGTCTGAGTGCAAGAGAGTTAGTTAGTAATTATATTAATTATATTAGCACACCTGTGCTCAGACAGGAAACCTTACACAGCATGTAAGGATTGGAAATGGAAAAGGGGGTTATGAAATAAATCATCGATATTTAAAGAAACTGTATCATAGAAGAACACTCCTCACTACAATTCAATCATTTTCTAACCACAGTTAATAAATAAGACCTGCAAATTAATCTGTTCTTACCATATTGCAGCTCATATATTTCCAAGCGGTATCTTCTGTAGACTTTCCCAGATGTATACCGTTTTTTTGGGGTTGTTTTTTTCTACCACTGAGAGATATTAAATCCACATCCTACAGCTCAGATTCATGCATTTTATTTATAAGACAGAGAGCAAGCTCTGATAATAAACCGATATCTCACAGCTTAGCAAAATAGATAGTTTTTAAACCACATGTAAAGAATTCCCATTGCTCCCTATTAATTATACATAGCAGCTGTGTAAAAATGATGAAAGCCAAAACCGTGCTTACAAAAAGAGGTTCTTCTATGTATATCGCTGTCACATTGCTTTCATTTTGTATTTTTCCTTTTTTTACGTTTTTTTATTTATTTGTTTTAACCAACCTTATGTATTTATTTGAACTCTTTGTTTTATATTTCCTGGGGGGTTATCTTACACTGGGGATTGATGACACTAATAGCGCCATTCTACATCATGACTCTCGCTTGGAAATTTCATGGGCTGGTCACGCTGAAAATGTCCTGATTTCACGCATTGTAAGAAGATGAAAAAGAAGCAAATTCCTAATGAAAATACTCATGTATAACCCCGTGCGTTCCTGGGAGAGTTATTTGCTCTGACTAATGTCTGGAAACAGACAAAACAGCACATCATGTAAAATTACACACCTACAAAAAGAATTGATACTAAAAGAATGCTCAAGGTTACTGGAAACATGGCAGCCAGCCAAGAGAGAATATTATTGAAAAAATATGGTATTGTAGCTATTGACAATAAGTAAAAGTGGCTTCTTAGTCACTACTTGAAGCAGGGCTGCAGAGGACACAAGCTGATTTCAGATGAGTCAACTGTAGCGGGACACACAGAGACATAAAAAATAATACTGGCATGAGTATTAGACAAAAATCTTGGGATGAATAAAAGAACTTTAGTAAACACATGATGAATACTTTTGATATTGGGCGAATTGGCAAAATTCTGTCCAGACATACTACACCTTCCAAACAGTAACCATAAAATGTTAGTGGGCTTTACTTTCTTGGGATTGATAAGAGCTATACGTGAACTACTTCGATTTGACTCCTTTGTATTGTCATTGTTGTAAAAAAGACAATATATCCAGAAAGATGGATGCATTTACATTAAAAGGACATTCTGGACTCCTAAAACACTTTAGCTTGCTTGCTTGCTTTATGTGTGAAAAGTGTGTCCTCTTTTTATTTTCTATTTTCATTTTTTTTTTATAGAAAGTGGTATTTTTTATAAATTAACCTTGTTACACCTTCTGGTTGTCAACAAGACAACAGGTTCCGTTACTTCCTGTTTTGTTTAGCTTAGTGGAGCTAAGTTCAAGATGCAAAATTGCCCAGAGCACCTGCCTTGCAAACACTTCTCATTGAGCTGCATTGGGAAGTCTGTGATTGGACAGCCACAGAAAGTCTGGGCTGGGGAAGAGGGGGAGGGATTGCAAAGGCTGCAGGCTAGAGATCTGTTGCAAGCTGTTTTTAAGTATATACACACATTGAAAAATGTCTGGCAATACATGCATTCATGTTTTCATTGGGGTATATCTTCTACACAGTGGGGTTATTTATGTTTGTATTGTGGCAGTTGAGTGTCCCTTTAAATTTCCAAAGATAACTAATCTACTAAAACCCTTCCCCGTATGTATGAAAGTCAAAATGTCTTCTTCGTCTCTGAGTAGGGATTACAAACATTCCGGCAATTATTCTGTATAAGACTAAATAGGACGGTGGAAGATTTTCATCCATTCAATTCTGCAGTTATCATTGAGACATATCCCAGTGAGCCCAAGATCTTTCCATTGTAATAAAGTAGTATGAAATATGTCGGATGCCAGCATGCCAAGTTCTTGTAATTAATGTTTCACATAGGAAATAACAATATCAGCAATAATTCAAGTGACAGTGCCTAATTGACAAGCTGCCAGACTCCAACTGTTACAATTCAAGACTGTCACAGACCAGGGTTTGCTGTGGGCTCTGGGCACATCCAAAGCTATAAGTATCGGGCTGAAAAAAAGTAATGGAAGACAATTACTCTGCAATGCCTTCTGGGTATTACTGTTCATCCTGCCAAGCAATAAGTAAAGGTGGCATTCCTGGCAAATGTCACAGGAAAGTAGAAAGGACAAGGGGATTGTGATTTGTCTACACTTTTTATTGTGAAAGTTACTTATCAAAAAGTTTCTGCTGAATTTTAATAAGTATTCAACAGTGCAATAGACTGAACAATTTAGTAATATCTGTATCCCTGTATTATATTGCAAGGTTTAATGATCCGGTCATGATACATTGGGCCAAAACGTTGTTTTTTTTTCTAGTCTTCCTTTCTTCATTAAACTACATTATGCATACTACCTGTTGAACTTGTGGATTTTATACCGGTGATCTGGTCATGATTTACATTTTAAGAAGATACATAGACTGCATAAACAAAAATGTATTCACACTGGCATTAACCTATCGGGCCCATTAGTCGTCAAAGAGCTGCTTAATATTTAGATTTTCTTTATATTATATTTTACCCTGAATTGCTCGCTTCAGAATTTGCCACACAACTTTAAATACGTTAAAGCCAGGACTTGGCTTTTCCAAAGCACAAAATGTATCATGCTTAAAAACATTAGTTGTAGGTATACAGTTGTAACGCAAATTATCCCACCCCCATTGAAAAACAGGTTTTAAAATGTACAGACTTTCAGCTGTTTGCAATGAACAAATCAAATAAAAGTGCAACACAATAAATCGTTCAAGTTGTTTCCCCAACTTCAACTGAAAATGCAACTTATAATGACTTCTGCAATCTCAAAATTTTTCAACCTCCTGTATAGAATTCCTAATAACAGCAGAAATATGCAAAACAGTATTGTCTCAAACACACCTGATGCAACTAATCAAGGGCTTTATTAATTGCACCAGGTTTGGAACACTTGAAATACCTGAACTGGCTAGGAGTTTATTAAGTGTCACATTTTACTGCATGTTAGAAATATGGCTAAGTCAATAGATTTGTCCACAAAGTTAAGAGAAGAGATTGTCACCCTTCACAAACAAGGAACATGATACAAAAAGATAGTGAAGGCATTAAATGTTCCTAGAGACACCGTTGGAAACATAGTTTGCAAGCTCACAGTTGAAGGAACAGTGGCTATGCTACCTGGACAATGCATTAAAAGGAAGGTATGAATTGCTGCAAACAGTTTTCAACCAGGTTGGAAAATAAACCTTGCATGACTGCAAAAGACCTGCAGCAAGAGTTGGTGGTAACAGGCACTGAGGTTTCAGTGAGCACAGTAAGGCCCGTACTAAACACAGAAGGTGTCCATGCCAGAACTCCAAGACGTACACCACTACTGACCAAGACACACAAGAAAAGTCAGCTCCAACATGTTCAAAAACATTTAAATAAGCCACATAAGTTTTGGGATTCTGTTCTGGGGAGCGATGAAACTATTGGAATTTTTGGCCCAATGGATCAGTGGTATGTTTGGAGGAAGAAGAAGGAAGCATACACTGAAAAGATCACTCTGCCTACAGCTAGCATGGTCATGGCTTGGTGATGCTATGTGGCTGCTTTGCATCCTCTGGCACTGGAAATCTGCAGCTTGTTGAATGCAAAATGGATTCATTGATATATCTGGAAATCCTAGGAAAAAAACGTCATGTCATCTGTGAGGAAGTGGAAGCTTGGGAGTCATTG